GACGAGAGCAGACGGACGCAGCAGGGGGCGTGGCTGAAAGCCAGATTTCCCTACATGTGTGGCTCGGGGGTGACGACGGATGAAGATATCACGTTAGAGTTCATACTTGTTAAATTTTCACTTTTAATTCTGGTGCCTGTTAGCAGCTGAAACACATCCTCACGTGCTTGTGGATACCATATATTGTATATGGAGACCTGACTATAATAATAAGTAAAGGTTAGCAGCTGTAGCTTCAGTGTGCTCATAGGAAACGTGACAAAATAACACAAAACACATTTCTCTTCATGGCCTATATAGTTGTCATCAACGTTACATGATTTACAGAAAATATGTGACCAACTAACGTTTCATGTTCTACCACCGGATGTTTGGATGAAAATATGAACCAATCAGATCTTAGATCAGGTGAGAGCCAGGCGTTTCCCGTCATCCTCTAGGTTTTGCAGCCGAGGGAGAGCAACCGCAGCGCCAAGCTCTAAAATCTGCGGCCGCCTTGATCTCACGAGGTTATCGTTGCCTACGTAGGCATGACGTCAGAGCAAGTCGGCGTCAATTCGGACACGAATCTAACCGGCATGCGCTGCTCGCCGATCACCGCTGGTCTAATCTACGCAGAACTGGCTCATCTCGAACACGGCCAATCACAGGTGGACTAGAGTCTGACTCCACCCACACTTCCTGTTTATGGGTTGGCGGTCTGAGAGGGCGCCGCCGCCGCGGTTGCTAACAGCTAACATTAACTTCACCTGTTAAGATTAATTACAGACATAATGGACTTGTGCACCATCTTCTCATTTTCCAGTTTTACTCCACTAGAAACACAACCAACAAAGCCACGACACAGATCAGCCATCAGAAAAGGATGATTTTTGTTCATTCATTCATTCATTCATTCATTCATATTCCGTAGCAGCTTCTTCCTGCCCAGGGTCACCGTTTATCTCCAGCAGTCACCAGATAAGAGGTGGGGGACACCCTGGACTGGTCTTCAGTCCATCACAGGGACACAAATAGGGACAAATGAGACAATTATTCACTCACTCACACCTAGTGACAATGAACCCAGTACGAACAATGAAGTAAACACTGAGAACAGATTCTTCTAGACGTGTAGAGAACCAGGAAGTCATCTGGACAAACGAGATCATGCACGCAACATACGTGTAACACACGTGCCGCTACGCTAAATAAGCCATTAGCAGCTTCTGTCTATGAAAAGTACCGGTTTGTTCAACTGTGGGACACTTCTAAGCTCGTGTTTTATAATATCTATTTGTAAGTTGTTGATTCTGAAATAAAAAAAACCTGTAAGACGAGGGTAAGTCAGACAATACCTTTTAGAAAGTAGAATCTAATCTAATCCCTAATCTAGCATACTCGACGGACTGAAAGATCTTGCTGATCTGCTGACGCTCAACAGCAGCTCTGAGAACATTAATCCAGATTACGATTGGGAATTGATGAAGTGGAAAACTTTGATTCATCTTGATGTGGAGCTAATCTGGTGTGTGTGTGTGTGTGTGTGTGTGTGTGTGTGTGTGTGTGTGTGTGTGTGTGTGTGTGTGTGTGTGCCACAAACACCGACAGACGCTACCTACGAGCCGAGCCTAATGGTCTCTTACGGGAGGGAGCCCTCTTCCAGGAAGTGTAGCTGTTTAGTATTAGCAACAGCAGCAGCGATGCTCACAAAGACCCCGCAGTCATCCCAACTAACTGGTTCTGTGTGCAGAAAGTGACACGTGTGTTTAAACTTACAATCAGACAAAAACACCTGGTTTTAGCTGTAAATGCCCTGAAGCTACACTGGCTGGAGCTGCTGAGGGTCTGAGGTCAGAGCTCTTGAAGTGACGAGTCTGGACAATGAAGAAAAGAGTGTGGTCGCAGTGATGTCAGACTCGTTCCTTTGAAGTGATCATTCAGCTCTGCTGTAAACGGACCAGCGATCAGCACAGAATCAAGAGCTGTGACCTCACAGACATACGCGGCAGAAATGACGAGGATTCAGATTCTTGTGCCAAAACGGTCCGGCTGAACGAAACAAGATGAATCAGACTTCACTGAAGAAGAAAGCCAGACCCTGTCCCCGTGCGAAGGAGGACGTTGGACTGATCTCGTGTAGAAAGTAGGACTTTGTGTCTTAAAACTAGAATGAGCTGCAGACAGCCGTCCCTTCAAGGGCTCCTGAAACACGTGTGACCACCTGATCCACGTGGCTAAACTCACGTTTCATCCATGTTGGTTCTTGTTTGTGTGGAAAACTTATGAATAATTGAGGTTTTACAAACTGTAGAGTAGGAATGGACAATATATCGCAGGTTTCCCCCAGCGATTTATACGCCTGGCCACCCGCCAAGCTAAGTAACATGCCCCGCCCCCTCCCCGACCCTACCGTGTCTACCATCGACATATATACTGGACAATTCATGTCCATAGGCTCCAATAACACGTTTTTGTGCCAAAATGGGAGGTGGCCACCACCGCCATTTTGACCGTGTCACAGGTTCCGTCAAGCCCAGACAATTCCACAAAAGGGAAGAGAGGAGGAGCTGAGGGTGGGGCTGTAAGGCTGGGATCAACTGACGACACCCGGTCGAACTAGCTACAAGCTAACCTGAAGCTAACCCAAAGCTAACCCGGAGGTGGGAGCTAAGCTAACGGAGGTAGCAACCTAGAGTTGTCATGAGTGTAAACTAGATCATTTAAACCAAAAACATGTTCTGGTACCAGGCTGTAAACATGTTTATTTCTGCTGTGAAATTGGTATTTTTAACATGGGAGTCAATGAGGATTTGCTCACTTCTGACACCAGCCCCTAGTGGATGAGGGTGGAACTGCAATTTTTGGTACTTCTGGGTTGGTCCCAATTTTTGAGCCGCATTGTGGGGGCTTGGTGTCCACTGACACGAACGGCACAACGAAACTAGAGCCCTCCATCAGCTGATACTGGTGAGAAAGCAGCAGAACGTGTGCAACCCCCCCACCCCGCCCCTGAAGCCACCAGGCTTAACTCATTTTCTGGGGGAAACCCTGTATCGGCATCAATATCGGTATCGGCCTACGTTAGTCATTTTTTCTTAACACATCTGTATCGGTCCGATAAATAAAACCGGGCCGATATTAACAGATATTTTTTCCATCTTGTATCCATTTGTTTACCTGTTTCAGGATGTGTGTGTGTGTGTGTGTGTGTGTGTGTGTGTGTGTGTGTGGGGGGGGGGGGGGGGGGGGGGGGGGGGGGATTTTAGTCATGTGAACAGTGAATGTAATCATTTTATAAGCATATATGTGTGTGTTGTGTGTACATGATAATCTAAATTCAGGTGATTTTAGTAGCATTAATGTCAGTATATCGTTATCGGTAAATATCGGTATCGGCCCAAAAATGCCATATCGGTGCATCACTACTGTAGAGGCATTCTAGGCCTCGCGTGGAGAAATGCAGTCTGCCCTTCAGACGTTCTGTTTAATTTGATTTAGTCAATCGAGTCCAAACACACACACACACACACACACACACACACACACACACACACACACACACACACACACACACACACACACACACACACACACACACACAGGTGTAGTGGAGAGGCAGAGGCACGTACCAGAAGTGATGCGTTTTCACAAACAGGACTCCACGTAGACGGTGGAGCGTGAAACCGACAGCGGTGCCTACGTTTGTGCACGTTGCATTTTCCTAACTGTGGTGATGAGTCACGCCTGCACCAAACGTGCACCACGTGCTCACACCGATATTTCACTTCCTTGTCTCCTAAGTAAATCCAACGTGCTACAAATCATTTCTGTTGCAGTTTCAAGACCTTCTATTAAAAAGACGTCATAAATAAAGGATTTAAGCATCTATAGAACCTCAGAAGATCACGATAGAGGAAATCTGGTCTAATTAAATCTACACAAACGCGTCAACATTCATTTTAACGTAAACGACTAAAAGCTCAACACTTTCCCCCCCCTCCATTTCAGATCCAGCCTGTGCAGAACCTTTCATCCGACCCTGAAAACGGGAGGACGGTAAATAAAGCGACACAAGTTTAAAGCTGCATGCACAGAATTACGTCGTACGTTTAAAACCAGTTGCTGATGAAGTTGTGCATCACCTGGAAACTAAATGATTCAGACACAGCAAGTTTTATGTAAATTCCCCCAAAACAAACTAAATTTATCATAACCAAGAAAACTAAAACATTTCTACTATGAAGTCGTTAAAGACACTAAATAATCGCTCTTTCCAACCAAACGGCTGGAAGCGGAGGACTGTACTCTCTCCTCTCGCAGCAGCAGCCCTGGCGTTTAGCTCGGCCGTCCCCAGGCCGACTTTCCTCTGCCGCCAGCCCCCCACTCACTGAAATCTCTTTAGGGGTAAAACAACCGCCGCCCCCTGATGGAGCAGTGAACTCGCCCGCAGCAGCTGGACTTACACGTTTATTTACACATTCTGCTAAACTCAGATGAATGCACAGCTGTCATCGCTAACCGTAAAAGCAGTCGAGTGTTCCAGAGAAGAAGAGCTTAAACTAAAAACACCCAAAGCTGAAGCCGTTTCCTCTGAAAGCCATCAGCAGAGAACACGCAGACTATAGGAAGCTCTCTGAGGAGAAAAAGCCGAGCCTGAAAACCAAACGGTCATAAAGAGTAAAAACACACCACGGACAATCTGCAGCCAGCTCTTCAGCACACCGAGAGATTTCCACGAGCTGAACCGTGTTCTCGGGGCTTCAGCATGACAACAAAAAAGCTTCAGAAAATACAAACGATGCTTGATGATGTGTGCAACCCGAGGGTGTCGGACGCGGCCCAGCAGATAGTTCATAATGCAAAACCTGGCGCAGTTTCCCGACACGACGCATGCACTTTTCTGCATATTTGACATGTTTATATCACATAAACAGAGCAGACGTGTCAGGTTGGTTTCAGGGAGCCGGCCACGTTAACCAGCGCCTCTTTTCTGACCATCAGCAGCGTCTGTCGCTTACCTTCAGGACTTCTCCACGCTTGAAACTAAGCTCATCATCAGCGGTGGCTTTAAAATCGTATTTGGCGATGGCCTCCATGGTCCTCGTGGCGAGCTGGAAAGCGACGGCTGTAGTTTTGGTTCTGTGTTGGAATTTAAAAAAAATGAAAAAGTCCAATCCAGCTTTCTGTGGTCGAACGCTTTTCCCCAAGTCTCTCCTCCCGGCAGTGACTTCAGGACTTGGAGCTCACATAAAGGTCACAGTGCAGTACCTGCAGAGAAAAAGCAGTCATGTGAGGCGGTTTAATAAAGGTCGACAAACTAATGCCGTTTGTGAATAAAAAAAAAAAATGAAGTTTTCTGATTCTGAACCACCCGGAGCTCACATTTAAGAAGAATCCAAATGCATTTTGATCAGCAGGTGACACTCAGACATGGAGCCCACTTTTCTACCAGGTCAGCACTGCTATGAGAGCTGCTACAGGAGCCCAGATGGCCCAGTGGGACAGAAATGTGAGCCGTGGAGCTGGGAAATGAAACCAAATAGAAAATATTGCTGGATGCTGCATGAGAGAGCATGTGGGGGTCACAAGTGACAAAGATGGAGGGTGCTTCTTTAACGAGCATCATATGCCGCCCCGGTTGCCTAGGAGATACGTTATCGGGAGCCGCCAAGACGTGTTCCGATGTTCACGTTCTACCGAGGTGCGTGTTCTCCGTTTGTTAGCCGTTTAGCTAGCCGAGTGAGGATACACGGGAGGTGTCTTGTAGCCTAGCCTTGGTCAAAAATTACCCACAATGCACCGCGGTATTTTCAAAAGGACGGCAGAGCAGAAGCCGGTGTTGTGTGAAAGTAGTTACCCCCGTCAAAAATGAGTTTCCCATTTCACTGGGGCGCAAAAAGTAGGAGGAGCCACTTGCCCAGCTCTGTTCTGTACGCTACTTGTCACTGATCTGCAGTCGACGCAATAAAGAGTAGAAGCTGGAAAACAGCAGGCTCGATTAATTTAATATTAGTTTCGTGACATTGTAATGTGCCGTGTGGAATAACCTGCTGGGAATACTTTGTATAGAAAAACACTTTGATACCATAATACTGTAAAACCAGACGTGCTCATGGAAACAAGTCGCTCTCCGGTGAATTTACACTCGCTTTACACTTTGTTTTTGTTGGCGTAGCTATCACGAAATAGTTTATCTGCAAAATCAATCACAGTATAACCAATAACTACAGTAACGTTGCAGAGAGTTTCTTCACAGCAAAAGTTATGGAGGGATACAGATTTTATCAGGCTGTGTGGCCTCGGCTGCCAAAATGTGTGCCCCCCCCCCCATCAATAATGCATTTCATCAGGCCACACAGCCTGATAAAATCTGTATCCCTCCATAACTTTTGCATGTACTTATTGCTTATATCGTGACTTATTTAGCAAATAAACGATTTCGTGATAACAACGCCAACAAAAACAAAGTGTAAACCGAGAGTAAATTCACCGGAGAGCGACGTCAGGGTAGCTGCAGATTTAAGGGAGCCAAATTTAAGACTTTTTAAGACCTTTTTTAAGGCCACTTTGACCAAATTTAAGCTATTTTAAAAATTAAATTTAAGCGATAATTTCCAGCTCTTGCCTGGAGCCGGTGCTAACCACGTCGCGATCGAGGGATTAGCCATCCAGTTACCATTAAACTTGCCCTTCCCCATGGCGCAAGCTCCCACTAGCTTAACCAGCTAATGTGCTCATCTAAAAAAATAGCCCCCTTTCACAACCAACTGACTGCGTACGGTTCCGCTTACGGCAACATCGTACACAAAAAATGCTGAACACTAACTAGAGATTCACGAAATTTTTATAGAAATAAAAGAATCTTGTTTATTGGGTCTTTGGTCATTTAAGACCTTTGGAAACTGGATTTAAGGATTATTTGTAATTTTTAAGGACTTTTAAGGCCTTAAATTAGGAAAAGCTAATTTAAGACTTTCTAAGACTTTTTAAGGACCCGCGGATACCCTGTACGTGTTTCCATGGTCACGTCTGGTTTTACAGTATTATAGTATCAAAGTGTTTTTCTATACAAAGTATTCCCAACGGAGCTGGGCTAGTGCCTCCTCCTACTTTGCGCGCTCCCGTGAATGGGGAAACAATTTTTGACGGGGGTAACTACTTTGGCGCAACACCGGCAGCAACTTCGGCAACAAATTTTCAAGTTTAAAAGTAAGTCAGCTAATTTAAAATGTTTTTTTTTTATATCCAAAGAAGTTATCTATGGTTGGTTAGTTGCTTAGTAGTTGCAGCTTCGGTGGCTAGCGGGTAGTAACTCACTTATATATTTAATTTAATAAACATATACACAATTTAAAAAGTAAAAGACTCGTTAGATATTTATATTGAAACTAATACGTAGAAAATATAACGTTATCTCCCGTGTCACGTGATGCAAGTCTGTTCCATTTAACCGTTTTCTTTGACCAAGGAAGGACAGTGTCCTCGTAAGCAAGGCGCCTTGACACTGAGAACCACCCTGTATGTCTGCAAAGGGAAAAGGCGATGGCACACACATGTAATGGTTTCTGAGGCCAAAACAGAAATTATAATACAACTCTGGTTAAATGCAAAGCCCTCCGAAAAACAGAAATGAGGGGAAAAAAAAAAACCCCATCAGCACCACTAACCACTTCTACAGCAAGTTTTTCAAATATTTACATTCACAGGAAAATTGTTTATGATTTCTGCTTCATCAGACTGCGCTTTTAACACTTAGGGGGAACATCTATTCATAGCAGTTAGTTAATATTAATGGAGAACATATGGGTTTGGTCCAAGGGTCAGGCCACAATCTGATAATCCCAACAAACCTTTGAGAACAACAACCAGAGATAAGTGGGTTAACGCAGACAGCTCGAAACCTTTTGCTGCAGGGTTGAACTGATAGTCGCCTTATCCAATTAGCTTGTTTGCTAACAGGTGATGGGGACAGAACTGATGAGCTCACACCCACACAGCTCTACCAAATAAGGCCGTTAAACGTGGACAGCTAGCCAGATGCTGGCAGAGGACTAATAATAATAATCATAACAAACAAGCGTGTTGCAATTCTGCAAGACGCATACAAATACAAGGCATAAGTTAGTGATGGTAGATAGTTTACTAGTTAGTAATAACGTCATTACGTGGGACACTAACGGTGTTATGAAGGAGGTTTTTTGTCACACAACGAGTTGTTGTATCTGAGGAAGTCGAGCCCTGACTGATAAAAGGCTGCTGAACACAAAGGATCACACAAGCACATTAGCGGTGTCATTAAACATCAGGTCATGAAAATGGATGATGAGACGGAGGTGCGACAGAAAAACAGCTGCCAGTTGCCCAAATGTCTCACCTTCGCGTCGTTTCCCAACTTTAAACACAAAACCCAAGCCCGCACGTCGCGTTAGTGGCGATGCCGCCACCAGAACCCGTCTAAAACCGCTTCCCGTGTAAAGGGATCGAATCGGTTCCAGAGAGTAGACTGCGCCCACTGTTCTAGAACGTTAGCACCCCGGCTAACGTTCGGTCAACAATAACTGCGATGCAGTGTGATGATCAAACTTATCGAACGGACTACATTAGATAGAACAGCAGAAGGCGACGTTTAGAGGGGGTTGTAAAAGATTAGTGATGATTAAAGCTCGATAGAAAGCCTCATGATGGGAAACGGGGAAAAGGAAGAAAACACCTTTTTTCTTAGCGCAAGCTGTTGTTGCTAGCTTACAGCTGCTATCGTGAACTTGACTCTGTGAGAAAACACTTTATTGTACACCACATTTATGCGAAACGGTAACGGCGTCTTACCGCTTGCGACGATCGGTTGGGAAGAATCCACCGTAGGGAACAAAACGTTACCGTGTTGTTTAGCTCTCCCTGCTCCCCATAAGAGACAACCAACAGTGTGTAGCGTCGCTCACAGCCCGTCCTAGGAGCCCGAAGCTAGCTGGTAGCAGAGCGTTTATTTCCGCTTCCTTCTGCCGAGCTGGTGCTCTTCAGACCCGAGCTCCTCCCAACAGTCCATGTCAACCCAGCCACCTCTGTTACCGTTTCATCCACAGCCAGGACACTTTTAAACAGACTGGAAAAACGTTGATATGTGATTATAGGGACTTTATCTGGTGACCCGAATCAGTTCAGACTGAAACTTATGGTGTTAAAAGTGAAATTTGCCCAAAACCTAAAAATAAAGTACCTCTCTGCCAGATTAAAAAAACTGCAGTAAGGGATTAGGCAAACAGACGATAATGTTTGATACGCCAGTCTACAACCAACTGAGTGGTTCACTATTTAGCACATCTGCTTTCAATTTTTGTTTTACGGGAGAGATCAAATGCTTTTAAAAGGCTGCCCCCTAGTGGGAAGATACCATCATGACAACAGCACTGGATTGAGCACAGACACCAAGCTGCCTGCTGTCTGTCGCTGGTGTAGCATCGGGCCGCCATATTGGATGGGTCTCCATTCGCCCCGCTACATTAATTTCTACTGAGGAAGATACTCAACAAAAAAAGAAAGAAAACAAAACAAAAAAAAACACATATTATCAAGTTTTGTTTCCACAAAATCAGACATATGGTAAGGCATGACCATTAAAACATAAATATAATTAAACAAAAAAAAATTACGATATAAAATACCATCAGGTAGGCTAGAAAAGTCAATAGTAACCACATGATCTGTTTACAATTGTCGCTGGTTGTTGCAAATGAAGGCCGCACAAAACCAGGCATAGTTGCCCACTCTGCATTGACTTCAGTTGTGTTTGGAGAGCGAGGAACCTTTCCAATATGGCAACAATGTTTTTACGCCCTCCAGCACCCAATGGGGCGTCTTTTTCAAACTTCTAGAACAAGGCCCTCACACTTTCATGTTTTTTATGTTAGTTACAAACGTTAGTGTTTGTTATTATATTTCTGTGGTAAAAGCTGATTCAACACGTTTAGATACTGATAGGATGTTTGCCCTGTTTGTTGTATAAAAAATGTGTTCAATAAAAAAAAACAATGTGGCGTCTACAGATTCATGTCTATGGGATTGAAGGTCTAGTGGAAGAGCCATGTGGTAGGAAGTGTGAAATGAAAATTCATGTAAAATATAGGAACAAAACATTTAATTGCAATTTAAAGAGATGTTTCTGTCTTTATTAGTCCTCATTTTATTTTTTTTTCATATTGTTTTTATATTGTTCATTCATCATGTTTAGGGCGAAAACTGAGGCAGAGAAAAGTAGATCAATGATGAGTAAATAAAATCACATGAGGGGGAAAACTGAGGTACAATATCTGATAGAGAAGAAAATAAATCTCCAAATTATAAAAATAGACAACGAACACATTTGTTTTAATTAAATCAAGATCACCATTTAAAACTACTGAAATATTTAAAAAATAAAGTGGGAGATAAAAATGTAAGTATAAACATAAACAAAAAAAAAAAGGATGTACAACTGAAAATGAAAAATAATCATTAAAATGACCCATGGATAAATTACTGCTGGTGAAAATAAACAGAGCTGTGCACTTGTCACTGCGTCTCTTAGGCCACAATTGCATACACGTTTGTTTGACTGTGGCTTGCACAGATGATTCAGAGCACACAAACTGATTCTCTCATGGAGCAGAAATGTAATTTTCTAACTCACAAGTTTCTAACTTCCACTCAGGGTCAGCAAGCAATGGAGGAGACAAATATAAAAAAGATATAATGGGTGATAAACAAATAAATAAATGTGTCGGTGTTAATTCATGCATTATCACAATGATAACACGTTCATTTTTACCCCTAAAAATATGTATGCTACAAGGGACATTTGTCTTTATTGTTATTTTAAGAATGTTGCTTAGTATTGCATTTTTGAAAAGTCTGGCTAGAGCCATCTCGCCTTTGGTAACCAATGTCATTTTTATCATCGTGATGTGACTGAATAATGGGTTTGCTCGGTCCCTGCATGCATACAGTAAGTAAAATATGTTTCAACACATCAACAGTTTTCTAAGTAATTCTACTTTTAAAGGTGCTACTGACATGAACATTTCACTAGGTGTCCATAACAACTCATGCAATCCACACCTGTTGAGGAACCAGACCACGAATGTTTATTCATCAAGTCTGGAACACTCAAAGAAAGAAACATGCATAAGGGAATGGAAAGTTATGACTCCAGTTGGAATTAATCAGTAAAACAGAGCAATCCTGCATCTCAAACATCCTCATGGTGACATGTTTGCAGTGGCAGACTTAGCAGTTTGGGGGCCCAAGGCAAACAAAAGCATGGAACCCTCAGCAACTGTTGTCCTGAACCTTTTCCAATCTTTACTTAGGAAAACGCACTAGCCCAATCAGTGACTTCTCGCTTTCCAGTAGCAGCATTAACATTAATATGGCTTTCAGCAATTTTTACTCTTCTGGGGCCTCATTTGTCAAGCTTGCTTACGCACAAAACGGGGTCGGAAAACTGCGTAAGCAACTTTCCACGCTAACTTTGGGATTTATGAAAGAAAACTTAGCAGAAAAATGTGCGCAACTTTAAGTTGACTAAGAACCTGGCTTACGCACATTTTGGACATGCAGAGCACCTGCAGTGCTGCTGCTGAGAAGATACAGTTATGAAATCCTGCAGCATCATCACTTGTAGTGCTTTGTGCGTGAATGAAATGAATTAAAGAATCACTGTTTGGCGTTACATAATTGGCCTTATTGGCATATCAATTTTGACAGGCCTGCAGAAATTAGTGTGATTACTGAGTAGACATATATACCGAGGATACAGTCATGCATAATGTGTCACAATGGATGCGCTGGCACTCCTGGATGACTAGTGCCAACGGCAGGATCCGGATGGAGAGAGAGTTCAGAGATCACGCAGATTTCCTGGCACATGACGACGACTGGCTGATCAGCAGATTTAGATTCCCCAGAGCCCCCCCCCCCCCCAACTTTTGTGCTGAGCTGAGCCCGGTGCTAGAGCGCCCGACCCGCCGGACTCATTCAACTCCAGTGCACCTCCAGCTGTTGACTACTCTTGGGTTCCTGGCAACCGGCTCGTTCCAACGGGAATTAGTAGGCAGGTAGGGTCATCTTGGCTTGATCGAATTGATATTATTTTAATTACCGCCCAAAGTTTCTTTGGATAACAAATACATGTAACCCTTAGATCTGGAACATCTCAGTCATCCCTGAGCATCATAATGCCTGCAGTTTTGAATGGCATAAGTAAAATGACAGTCCAGTACATGAAGTTTCCCTACACTGTCGGAGAACAGGCCAACGTTAAAGCGCAACTTGTGTCACATGTGCCGGCGAATGGAGCGGAGAAGAAGTGAGGATCCAATGCGGGTGAGGAAACCAGGCAGACAGGTAAGAGCGTTTGTCAATGTTTTAATAAGAGGCACGCAGGACAATGAAACAATGGACCGACATCAGACACAAAACCGAAGGGGCCTAAATACACAAGGGCAGGGAGCTAAGGTGATTGGGAAACGAGAGGCAGGTGGGAGCAATTAACGAGACACAAGACTGAACCAAAACGGGGAGACAGGACAGGGTGTGACAATTTGCAGCAATGTCCAGTTTTCCAAATGGAATCGGCACTACTGACTGCACTCATGTTGCTGAAAGGGCTCCGAGTGAGAATGAATATGTTTATGTAAATAGAAAAAACATACATCCCATCAACGTCCAAATTATTTGTGGGCCAGACGTGGTTCCAACAAATGTGGTGGTACATTGGCCTGGGTCTACACGACTCATTCATCCTGACGCACAGTAGTGTGGGCAACTGACTGCAGGCAGGTGCTGCGTGTGATGGCCGGCTCCTCGGTAAGTAGATCCACACTTCTATTAAACCACTGCGTATTATAATCATTGTGGTATGACACACAGGTGACAGTGGCTACCCCCTGAGATCCTGGCTCCTCACTCCCTTCAAAAACCCGCAGAACGCAGAGGAGCTAGGATTCAATGAAGTCCATGGGCATGCACGCTCTGTTATTGAGCACGCCACTGGCCATCTTAAATGCAGGTGGAGATGTTTGGATGCGTCGGGGGCAGACTGCTATACCAACCCAAAAAGGTATGCAGAATAATTCTGGCCTGCGGTGTCCTGCACAACATCGCACTGAGGAACAACATTCCTCCCCCACCGGGGCTACCTCCCCCTCCTCACCTTGACCAGCCTGAAGTGCAGCCCCCGCCCCGACATGTGGAATACCAGCAGGGGGCCAGATTGAGAAAGGATGTCACGCGTCGTTTATAGAACCAACACAGAAGGCATGGTTTTCATATTTTATTCTTTCACCAATTCCTAAAGTGTTCCTGAAATTTCAGTCAGGACGTCACATATTCTGTGCAGTTCTTCCCTCACTTCGTTCACCGCACTAATCATGTCCCTCTGTGCCTGCAGGACAGCGTCAGTTAGCACCCGGCCACTTCCAGGGGCGCCATGCGCCCGAGGCGCACTGGTGGGACAGGCCGAACCTGCAGCCACATCTTCGGTCGTTGCTCGGGATGCCTCATTGGACCCGTCGTCCAGTCTCACTGGTGAGGAACAATGAGATATGGTTTTGTTTTATATTTTAAGGACGGACACATTTGATCTGTATTAAAAAAAGGCTTAAACGTTACCAGTCTCCACTGCATGGTCAGTATCTCCCTCCTTCTCCGGCACGATGCCACGCACGCTTGCCGGTCCAAGTACTGCTGAGATCCTAACGGCAAGCGGTGGGAGATCAGAGGTGCCAGGGCCTCCGCCAGTGGCAGACACACTCTGGTGGTGGCAAAACATCTGGTTTTTTTTTGCCTCCACCTTCAGATCGGACCATTTCTTTTTAATATCCGCCACAGATCTCTCTGACAAACTCACTGCATTGACGGCTTCAGCAACGCTGTGCCACTCTGATGATTTTCTCTTATTTGTCATGCCACTGTTGTGACCTCCTAGCCTAGTGAACTAGACCAAATTCTTGCTTTGCAAAGTTTGGTCTAGGCATGCTACATTGGAACCTCCGCAGCTCCTACCAGGACTCTGGCTAGCCAATCACAGCTCTCTAGAGGGGTTTCAAACACAGAAAGAGCTGTGATTGGTCTATAATGGTGGGCCAATCACAGTGCTCTATCTGCTTAGTGAACAAATCACAGAACTTTATCCGCTTTGTGGGCCAATCAGGGCACTCTATTTGCCTGGTGGGTGGGATGATGCAACAGAGTGAAACAAGAGTATGTCACATTCATTGTCCAGTGGAATGCGGAGATCATTTGAAAGACAACGGTAGAACCCGCCCCACAACCGAGAGCCGTCAATGGAGCATGGCCAGACTAAATAATACATTTATTGCCAGGCTAGTGACCTCCAAAAAGGACTTCCTTTCAGTTTTTGCTTTCTTGATCTACCTTGATCTACGGTCGCCATGTCATTGGCTGAGCGCTGCAACAGCCGGCTTATGTACATGCATGAGATCCACAAGGCACTTTGCATTGACCATTTATGGCAGAAAGTGGGCGTGGTGAGGGCGGGATGTGACTAAAATGCAGCTGAGAACTTTTCTCGTTAGTCTCTGATTTATGAAGTGGAGATTGCGTGCAGCTGTGCGTACTCCATGTTTGATAGATCACAAATATACTTGGCATAAGTAAAATTTTTTTAGCTGTGCTTAAGTACGGTTTTAGTAAGGATTCTTTGCAATGTTTGATGAATGAGACCCCAGGTCTGCACCACAACCAGTGTAATTTCGTTGTCTGGACTCACTGATTTTTGATCTATGCGATGCTTCACATCCTCTATCAGTAGCAGAGCATCGTGCAGCTGCACATCCCAGCTCTAGTCCTTAATAAAGCCGGGTTTATTATTAATTATTTCTGGATAATATATTCTAACTGGTCTTCCAGGCAGTACTGTGAGACCTCTTCAAATGGTCCAGAACGCGGAGGCGCGTCTGGTCTTCAATTAGCCAAAAAGAGCACACGTCACCCCTCTGTTCATTGAGCTCCACTGGCTACCGCTAGCAGCACACATCAAATTCAAATTGCTAACACTAGCATACAAAGTCCGAGATGGTACGGCTCCCATCTACCTGAATCCTCTTGCAAAGGCTTACGTCTCGGCCCGGCCGCTCCGGTCATCACAGGATCGTCGGCTAGCAGTGCCTACACCACGCTCAGGACAACCCAGACTCTTCTCATGCATCGTTCCACAAATGTGGAATGACCTTCCAAGTACTACCAGAACTGCGGCTTCCTTTTCAATTTTCAAGAAACTCCTGAAGACCCTGCTCTTCAGAGAGCATCTTCTAAACTAGCACCCTCCCTGCACCCGTCCCCCTCTCTACCGTCCACTCCTTGTTCTCTCCTCTCCATGACTGATGTCAGTGTTGTTGTTGTTATTGTTGTTGTTAGCCTCAAGGGCAATAAGCCGATTATCACTTGTAAGTCGCTTTGGACAAAAGCGTCTACTAAATACATAAACATATAACACATGCCAGCACAACTAGGGCAATGCTGTTCAATGACTGATTTCCATAATCTGTGAAATGGGTTAAATGTTTCCACGTAGCCCCTAATGTGGTCATGTATCATTAGGGGTACATGTACCCCCAGTTGGGAATCACTGACTTAGATTTTAAAGATTATATTTATAAAATCCCATTAACACATTCAATTTTTGTAATCCAAAGCCAGTATAATGTTTGTAATGAACCACTTTTAATGCACGTATGCAGGTAGGAATTGGTGGTCCAAAGGGTCCTCGAGTAAGGATGCAGGGAAACCATTGGTCTAAAAAAACACTACTGCATATCTTGAAATACTTCATTCCCACTATGAAGCATGTGTGAAGCAGATTCTGTACTTTTTTGAGTTCCTTGGTCTAATTTCCATAGAAACAAACCCCTGACTGAATCCTGGACAAACAAAACAAACAGAACTGGATCATTTACCAAGGCTGCCACAAACCAGTCATTACAAGCAAGATCTTTGTGAGAAAACCTGTGTTTAATTTTGCAATCTAAAACTTGCAGTACACTATGCAAACATTAGACAATCAAATCCCTTAACTTGTATGTGATGTCCAATTCAAACCCAATGTCACGTTCTGACATTACACTCGTGCGAAACATACCGTTTTAATCTGGTACTTAAGTTACGTCATTACACATGATACAAAATGTAGACTTTTACAAAAGTTACTAAAATATAATCTGACCCTATTTCTCAAATAATGTCACATACACATTCTTCATAAAATCTGACCTCCATTTTCTAGTGTTAAAATTTCAAGAGCAATAACAACAAAAAAATATAAGGACACTGTGTAGGCAAACTGAGTTTACAAGAATTGAGTTAAATATTTAAATCAATCCCAGAATAAAAATAACGTGTTTATTTTTCCCTTCATTTGCCTAATTTGTCTGGTGAATGTACTAAAGTGTGACTGGTGGTGGGGAATTAAATACACATTGCAGATGTCGCAGAAAGCCAGAGTAGCTGTGGTTGCTACCTTCCTGCATATTATGCAAATTTTATGACTCATCATTACTTCTATCACTGCAGGGATAAAAAAATACTGCTCATAGTGTTTCCTGCTCTTCAATCGTTATTGCAAAAAAAGAAAAAAAAAAACTACAAAAAGAGACATTTGCCTTTGTTTCCAGTCCTGATAGCCGTATTTTTATCAGTGTGAAGTTAAATTTTACTGCTGTTAAAATAACCCACATTTACACACAGACACATGGGCGCATGTACATGCACACCCTTGTGCACACACACACACACACACACACACACACACACACACACACACACACACACACACACACACACACACACACACACACACACACACACACACACACACACACACACACACACAAACACACGCACACGCACACGCACACACACACACGCACACACACACGAGCATCAAGGTTTGAAACGTTAAATCTCACCTTTATTGCTCTGCAGGCACTCTGAGAAACCAATGGCTATCTTCTATACATGTGCATAATTATCAAGAGTAATCTGGAAGCCACCATAAGTTACGCATGTGTGTGTATACTTGTTTAACATGTAAAATGGGGTCCAAGCCCTGAGCAGAGACCAACATAACGAGGACTTGTGTAAAAACGGGCACAAACAGGTCCCCACAACAGTGATTTTGTGTTTAAATCTACTTGGTTACAGAGTTAAGGGAAACACAAAGGTTGATTGCATAAAGAAATCACAGCATCTTTTCACAATGCAATCTAATGCAATCATTAGAAAATTTTATTTTGCGTCATTAATTTTCATTTCTGAACATAGGAATATCTCTTCATACATATTATCTGCAGCACTTTCAAACTGTCTAACAAATGTTAGAAATCTAATTGGATTAAAAACTTTTCCCCATTTTGGTACTCATAGATTAAAGTGATCATAGTCACTCGGAGCATCTACAAAACATATTTTTAAGAAAGTGCATTTATAATAATAATTATAATAATAATAATAATAATAATAATAATAATAATAATAATAATAATAATAATAATACTTTTAATAGTAATAATAATAATATTAATAATAAACAGATTAAAACATCAAAGATAAATTAAGTCAATGACTAAAGTTGTCATTTTAAATCCAACCACTTGCGGCCATTGACGACTAAAGTCATTAATTGCATGTTTTTAAGGGGTGGGCATTAACATCCCGTCTCTAAAGCTGATCACCTGTGTACGTCACACTTCACATGATCAGAAAGCAGAAAAACACATAAATTAGGAGATCGTTTTGGGCCGCTGCTGTGAAAAAAGCGAGGCGCGAAGCGGAACAGCTTCTGTGGCTCACAATTCGACAATTAATTACAAAAGAACGGATAATGCTAGAAACACTGTGATTTTTCCTTATGTAAGAAGGGAGTCTACTCTTTCTTTTGGTGGGTTTGGCGTTGACCTCATCATAGAGCACAATGATCTGTGACTCTTCAAAAAACAGTAAAAACGCTGGCAGCCAGGGGCTTTTCTGATCAGGAAACAGCTGGCAATTTATGAGTTAAGATACTTTAAGCAATTTATAGTCCAGTGTTAGTACTTTTCGCAGTGCTTAGGAAATTGTGCCATCTATGTGTAAAGTCTATGTTTTCTCCATCTTTCAATATTCATTCAACATCTCTGGGCAACCTTCCGCCTTCCAGACACGTCTTAGCTTCATGGAAGACTGAACTTAGAGCATGTAAATTTACCAAAACTGACAAAACTCTCCACTTTGTAAAAGTTCATTATTAATTCAAACACATACCAAAAAGCAATAGACAACATTGTGAAAACAACGCATTACAGCAGTCTTTTCCCTCTGCTTTTTAAACTCTGCATAGATTTAGTTTAAGACACCCACAGGTAAGAACGCACAACAGTAATATGAAAGAAAAAGAGTAGATCATCTTTGCTCCAGGTGAGGTGGGGGAGGGGCTTCTCTGGGAGTGTGCAGGAGTTATTCTGGGCTGTCACATAGGCACTAAAAACACAAACAAATCAACACAAAGTTATAAGTGATATGGTAAAATGACAGTGAGAATATTACAATTGTATTCAAAAGAATTGCAAAGTTTAAAAAACACGACATTTGATGGAATAAAGCAAGTTTACCGTTTAAAAATGAATTACTGAGATATTGTCCTAAACAGCCAAGGAAGAATGGATGAAGAGCACCAGTACTCTTTAAATTGTATTTTTTTGTTTAATTAAACAGATTTAAGTTCGGATTTTGGTACAAAAGTTAAGAACTGGTGCATTATCAATCAGCCGTAGCGTTTAGAAACAGGAAACAACAGGCTTGAAGGTCATCTGGTGCCTACCCAAGGAGGTGGTGCTGTATCGCGTCCGCTGTAGAGTGGAGTAACCAGTCTTGTCTAACAACAGGACACGGTGTGATGGAGGAACCACAACTTCCCCGTTTCTCTGTAGAGAGGCACATCGTCGGAACGTTAAGTCTAACTTTGTGTCGATGTTGCTGGAGCTGTGAGCCCGCTTGATGTCAGCTGGATCCTGATTCCCAGTTCTTCCGTTCACCAGCTGTGTTTTGCAGTTATGAATATCACGGCTGGGGATTATGCTGCCTCTCTTGTCTTCTTTTGGCACTGCAGTTAGTGTCCCAATGGCGAGGGACGTTTTTGCTAAATTACAGCTAGCCAGGTTTTCCACTTGTCCATGGGCATTTATTCCCCTCTCCTGCTGTTTGATTGGTGACCTAGGGATATCTTTCTTCACAAAAGCAGGCTTGAAAAATGACAGGTTGTCCTGGCTCTGAGCCTCATCTCTCTGCTCTTTCCTCTCCTCTGATTGGACGTTCGTATGTAACAAGTCCTTCTGGATTCTGGAGATTGCAGGGACTTTGGTTCGTTTTAATGTAGAATCTCTGCTTGGTGGTGCACTATGACTTATGTGACCACCTAGAATGGCGCCTCTTTGAAGCTGGAGGTCCAGGGCCCTGACCTGGTCAGTTCTCAGCCTCTTATACAAACCCTGCCTTAGAGAATCATCCTCACTGGATTTGAGATGACAGCCATTGCCAGATCCGTGGCTGAAGTTTCTCTCCAGACAGGACCTTCTCTGTCCTTCTGGTATTTTGGGAGAGTAGGAAGTGTCAGAGCCAGGCCTATCCGTGCAGCCGAGACTGCTACCACTTGGTGAACTGCAGTCCTGTCCTACTTCAAGCACTCTTCCATGGGCGGTTCTCAGCGGTGGAGTGGCCACCAGGTTTATGATAGGGTCTTTGGTGCATCGCGGTCTTCGTCCAGACTCCAGGTACTCTACCAGCTCTCCCGACTGGGTTCGGACTGAGTGCTTGATCCGGTCTTTGGACCCAAAGGACCATCGCAGTGGAAGAACTTTGCTTAGAGTCTCCTTGGGTTTAGCTGGTGATCTCATGCTAAAACTCCTCACCTGGATCCCTCGTACCAACTGGTTGGGTTCAAACCCATCTGTAAAAGACAGAACCTGTTAGATGGGCTATACTGACAAAATCTTAGACATACCCTAATAAAATGTAAATCAATTTGAGAGGAGAAGCCAAGGTAGTGGAGGAGTAGGACGTGCTTGAGGCTCTCTGCAAATTCATTTGAAAGTGTTCTGGCTTAACTTTTGGGGCAAAATTGAATGCCTGGAACTTTATTGTGAAAGTTTTAATATCTTTGAAAGATCTAAGAAACGGCAGCAACGTCGAAGAAAAGCAGAAAGCCTGGAGCCTCCTTGGTCCAGAACAATCTGGTTCTAGCTGGAGCTACGGCCTCACCCAAGCTAAGATCTGACCTTGGCGATGGAGAGATGTCAGAGCTGAGGGCTGAAAGGCTTCAGAAATCCTTCTTTCAGGTGGAGTTCTGATGAGAAATGAAGGAAGCCCTGGGGCTGAGTGTGATGAAAGCTGAATTACAGAGCACCAGAGGTGTGACCAAGTCACTGCTTTGCAAGTTACAAGTCAGTCACAAGTCTTTCCAGTCAAGTCTCGAGTCAAGTCCAAGTCAAAGACAACCAAGTCCAAGTCAATGATCTGGAAGTCCAAGTCCTTTACTTTGAATTTTCAAGTCATAATCAAGTCATCTGCACAACTCCAATTTAACAATGATAATAAATAAATTCCAGAAATAAAGCTTCTAAAAGCTTCATTTATTCGCTCAAACAAGCAGAAAGTGCAACTGATTATAGACAAAGAGCTGCTGCATTTAGCAGAACAAGATCACACCCAGAACGAAGAACAAATTATGATTTTTGTCCATGTCGTGCCACTTTTGTGCTAAAATATCAAATATGCTCAGGTCATCATCAAGTCAACAGATGTAAGTCGATTCAAGTCACAAGTCTTTGGCGTTCAAGTCCGAGTCAAGTCGTAAGTATAGATTTTATCAAGTACAGTCAGAAGTCATTAAAATAACGACTCGAGTCTGACTCAAGTACAAGTCATGTGACTCGAGTCCACATCTCTGCAGAGCACTGCAGCAGCACTCCGCTCGGATGTCATGCAGGTCGGGTCAAGTTACGGAGATGAAGGGTGGTTTGTCCACCCTGTCAGACGAGGTTATCTTTCTTCAGAACACGGCGGGGGACCAAGGGAAGGAACTCTCTGAGCTAAGTACAAGGATTTGGAGAGCCGCTCGAGGAGATGTAATGTTTGGATGATTGGAATACCTGAGGAACAGGGGTCCTGCATGACCACATTGTTTTTCAGACAGTTGAGATTGGGGGGTTGCGTCGGCCCAAGCGGCCCACTTGTGTAAGCAGTCCACCGGGACAGTCCACCCCTGAATCTGCCCGAAACTATAGCGATGTTGGTGGTCTATTTTTGATTCACCCTCCAAGATATATGGAACCACTCTGCCCCCAGACCCTTTGACCTTTTTGTTTGGAGTGGTCGTGGTGGCGGCTTCTTTGGACACGAACCAGTTAGATAGAATTACCTTACGCTGCTTGTTGGCAAAGAGACATACTGTCCACATGAAAAGATTCCCCTCCTCCAGCGTATGGTTCGACCACCAGCAGGAGGCAATGTGGGTCAAATGTCTTGCTCAAGGACACAACAGCAGAATTCTCTGACGGGAGTCGGGACAGATCCTACAACACTTTGATTGCTAGACAACTTGCTCTACCTCCTGAGCTACTGCTGCCCCTGGAAATTATTTAAATAAACTACTGTAGCCACTAGTTGGATAGTTTATTATTTCAAATACCAGGTTATTAGAAATAAGCATTTAAACATGCTTTAAATGACATAGGTTGTTGTTTCATCACTTCCATATCTTGCGCTAAACTTAGCAGCCTTAGGTAGAAGGTGACCATAGGTCTTTAAAATATAAACAAATAATGTAAAAGTACAAAAATACCGTTCCATCTAAGTGTAAAATATTGTTAGCATTTTACATGCTTACTTGTTTCTTCTCTTTTGCTGGGTTCATCTCCAAAGACAGGCAACTCTGGAGACTCTGGGGCCTGCATGTTCTGATAAGCTGCAGGATTCGGATCACCTGATACCACGCTGCCCCTCTCACTTCCCCCTGTTAGTCGAACCAGCCAGTGGTCAGAGGTTGATGAGCTGGTTGAGCCTAACAAAACATTAAATCAGTTTTTTTTATTGCACATCGTCAAACAAGCCACGTGGAGCCTAAACTGCATATATGTAAAAACTAAAAATGCCATTTTTATGACATTTTAAAAGAAATAAAAGGAAAGACAAACAAACCAGTGACCGAGGAGCTTGCAGACCAAGGTGGGATGGTGCTCCTTTTCTGGTAGAAAAGAATGTAGGCTCCACGTGTGCACACTTCTGCCTCAGGAACTGGCTCAGCAGTGCTGTCATCGTAACCGTACCACTGGCCATCAACAGAATTACGACAAAAGGCTACAAATAGGAAAATGACAGGAAGAATCAATACCCAACTTGACACCAGTCTAACCCTCCCACTGTCTTCATGGGTGACCCCGCCAGGAAAGTTGACCATTGAGCAGGATTGATGGTTTTTCCCTTGAGGTCCACTTGGCAGGGGTGAGGAGTGAGCACCACCCCACCCCTGCCACATGGACCTCAAGGGATAAATCATCAATCCTGCTCAATGGTCAACTTTCCTGGCGGGGTCACCCATGACGACAGTGGGAGGGCTAGGAAAACTTTGTTTGGATCCCAAAGTTTTTCTGCTCATACCACCACATAAGACAACAGACTTCAAAGCGACAAACTAAATTACAACGTGTGTTTTGATATTGATGGCAGCATGACCAATGTCTGTGTAGCGTGATGAAGGCTCTCTGATGTGTGCCAAAGGTCAAATTTGCCCAGCTGGGTCAAGCTGGGTCAAACAGTACTTTTTGAATCCACAGATTAACCCAAGGAGCCACGATGTCTGCTCAAGATCATAACATCATATCTGCTGTTCCGTCCCAAGAAGGACACTTCAAGCCACGATGATAATAATTAATAAATTCATTGATTTTATTACTGTTTAATATAATCATCATAACATGATCACTTTGCTCATTATAAAGGTATTTTAATTACATGAAATGGATTATTATGCTTTGGTTATAATAATAATTATTATTATAATGATTAAAGATGTGTTTAGCAACAAGGTCAAGTTCACCCTATCCAGCTAACACGGAGTTCAGATAAACAATAACTGCATCACATGTTTTTGATGCATGAGCAAGCTTCTTCCGGAGAAAGTGGGAGGGGTTCTGAGAGCTTTTGGTAAAACTAACCATCACAGATTCACGTTCAGTTCTGAAACCAAGCATCATCCTGAGGAGACGGGGACGGCCGCCCTGACCCTCTGCCAAGCTGTTCTGTCACGCCGACAAGAATAGCCAAAGAATAAACGGAACTGTAAACCAGCTAACGAAAGACTCTACCAGAGTCATTGATTTCTGAAGTTCAGTTAAAGACGAGAACGTTCATCTGCCAAACGCTTCATTCACCGAGTGACCCAAGAAGGCATCTCAGGACCGATCTGGTCGTGCTAGAGGTTTTTCTACCAACCTCGTGCCTGGAGGAAACCCATCTCCACCTGGACACTTCGGATCCAAATGGGGGTCTTCTGATTGGGTGAGGTAGACCTCGACAGAATGCGTTTGATGCTGTTTCTCCTCTGAATAGCACAGAGGTGATTCCAGTGTGCAGAATTAACTCTACATCTGTATAAATAATGGATGAACCATATAATGCATCTTATCACTCCTGGAAAATACAAAAATGGAGTGGAGAGTGGGGCTGTGAAGGGGGGAGCAGATGACTTACACCCAACAAACTCTGAGCCGATGTAGCTACAAGCTGAAAGAGCTAACCTAAGCTAACATAGGTCTGCAGGTGCTCCTAGCCAGAAAACTGCATTTGAGCGACTCTGCTACCCCCTGCCTTCTAGGCTCTAACATGTTTTATTATCTTCATCAAATAGCAAGAGTCGGAGTTCTCATGTCAAAAAAAGATATGGAGAAACTCATTCATGCGTTCATCTCCAAAATACATGTTGGATCTCCTTCCTGTACACCCAGCAGGGCTCTCAGATTCTTAGGAAGCAGTCAGCTGGTACAACCCCGGTTCAGAACCAAACAGGGTGAAGTTGCTTTTAGCTACGATGCTCCTCACAGATGGAATCAGCTTCCTTATGACCTCAAATGTGCCCCAGCTCTAGTAACTTTAAAATTAAGATTGAAAACATTCATGAATTCATCAATCATCACTGTAACTGCTAGGCCTTTAACTTTGGCCTTTTCAAATTCAAATTCAAAAAAACTTTAATCATCCCGAGGGGCAATTGTTTGTTGTTTTATTCTATTTATTACATCAAAATTTTTGTGTTTACTTTTTTTCTGCTGTTCTATTTTGTCACATTGATTTTGATGTTTTAAGTTTTTGCTGATCTTGCACCTGGAAGGCACATTGACTTGGTTCTGTATATCAAATGTGCTGGATATGGTAAATGGTCCGTATTTGACATGGCACCTTATAGAGTCCTGGAACCCCCAAGGCGCGTCATAACACAATCAGTAAATTCACACACACATTCACACGCTGGTGGTGATGAGCTACATTGTAGCCACAGCTGCCCTGGGGCGCACTGACAGAGGCGAGTTTGCCGTATACAGGCGCCACCAGTCCCTCCGACCACCACCAGCAGGCAAGATGGGTTAAGTGTCTTGCCCAAGAACACAACAACAGCAACAGACTGAGCGGGGCTCGAACCTGCAACCTTTCGATTACAGGGCGAGCCCTTAACTCCTGTGCTACCGTCGCCCATGCCCACGCTGCCTTTTCTTTCTGGATTCCTGAGGGGGGAATAGCATCTTTTGTGTCACTTCCGTGTTGGTTTCACTTTTGGCAGATTCCCCCGCGAGCATGAATTTTTCATACCTGTGTAATGTCCACCGTGCATTCCTCCGTGGTGGTTGCAGACAGCATAAAGGTCATACAAAAAGTCTGGAGGAGCCAAGTCTGGTCTTCTGAGCTGCTTCCAGTCCGGCTGAAGAGGGTGCTGATGATGGCCGTTGTTGCGGTTCACCATGTGAGGCGTCATGTCCAGGTCCGTCAGGGGAAAATGCACAAATGTGGTGAGCTTATTCCTCCTCTCACCCACCTGCCTGAAGCGCTTCAGGTGGAGGATGAGGATGTCCGGCAGGGTCCACAAACTCATCTTTACCATGCCTTGTTGCATCTGCTTACAGTGGGGACACTTCCAGGCATCATCAGGGGCGAGCTGGCAATGGCAACAGACAAAAGCATCAGAGACGGAGGGAACAATAGAGAAGGCTTCTTTACTGCAGGACTTTCTTAACCCATTTTTTTGGTCTAAAGCCCTTTTTACAAGAAACACCGTGCCGGCAAATCAGCGTAATACTACCACAACGATGTGTCTTATACATGCGCCACGTCGGCATGGCGAAGCTCAAATTTTACGGCATTCATTCCGTCTCGCTTGGTAGAGATATTGCGGTAACTGTCTGTCTTATAAATGGTGATTACGACTTGGTGCAACAGAGGGAGGTGTCACGATCCCGCGGGGAGCTCCGGTGTTGTGTCGATGTGTTCCCCCTTCGAGATCTGTTTCTTTTGCACCCAGCTATATGTTAGAACCATCCACTCGCAAAAAATGTGTGTCCTAACCCTTACCCTAACCATAACCCTGAAACAAACATAAAATTGTGTTACACATAATATTTTCGACCGGAAAAGGGCGGCTTGCCAACTCCGGGTCGGGGGAGAGGCCCTACCTCAAGTGGAGGAGTTTAAGTATCTCGGGGTCTTGTTCACGAGTGAGGATAGGAGGGATCGGGAGATCGACAGGCGGATTGGTTCGGCGTCTGCAGTGATGCGGACGCTGAGCTGATCTGTCGTGGTGAAGAGGGAGCTGAGCCAGAAAGCCAGGCTCTCGATTTACCGGTCGATCTACGTCCCAATCCTCATCTATGGTCATGAGCTTTGGGTAATGACCGAAAGAACGAGATTGCGGATACAAGCGGCCGAAATGAGTTTCCTCCGTAGGGTGGCCAGGCTCAGCCTTAGAGATAGGGTGAGGAGCTCGGACATTTGGGAGGGACTCGGGAGTAGAACCGCTGCTCCTCTGGATCGAAAGGAGTCAGTTGAGGTGGTTTGGGCATCTGGTCAGGATGCCTCCTGGACGCCTCCCTGGGGAGGTGTTTCAGGCATGTCCTGCTGGCAGGAGGCCCCCGGGTCGACCCAGGACACGTTGGAGAGGTTACATCTCCAATCTGGTCCGGGAACGCCTTGGGGTCCTGCCGGACGAGCTGGTGGAGAAGGCCGGGGAGAGGACGGTCTGGAGCTCCCTAGTTGGGATGCTGCCCCCGCGACCCGGACCCGGATAAGCGGAGGAAGACGACAACAACGATTTTCAAAAATTATATTCATGCAAAACATACATTTTTGGTGACAGGGTGGTTATGGTTAGGGTAAGGGTTCGGGTGAGGGTTATTTTTTGTGATTGGGTCGTTTCCACCTGCAGCTGGGTGCAAAAGAAACAGATCTCGAGGGGGGAACACACATCGACGTACGGCCGGTAACTATATTAACCCTTTGATGCATGAATTATGAAATCTTCAACTATGATTTTTTTTAACAATTTTTTTCAGTCATCTTTAGGTGTGAATGAAACAAATTTCAACAAATATTTTTTGTAAAATTTGATAATTTACAAATAATTTATTACATGTCCACCTCAGTGGACAGCGTGCATTCTGAGCATGAAATATGTTGACTTGGCTTACTGAAGTCCAAATGGAGGGGCTCAAATGCAATAAAGTCTTCAACAGCTGTGCTTAATAGCAAAAACAAATAAATGACAATTTTGAGTACCTGTCCACTGTAGTGACCATTATGCATCAAAGGATTAAAAATGAAAGTAAAAACGGACCGTAAGTTTGACTTTTGTAAACAGAATCAGCTGAGATGATAATCTGAAGCAATGCAGCGCTCCTGGAGCTTTTCTTCATTAGAGCTGGAGGTCAGATCACCAGAGACTGAGAGGGACAGACGCCTTTAGGAGCGGCTTGTTAAAAAAACGTAATGAATGCGGCTTCGATGGCAATAAAAAGTAAGTTACGTCCAAGATAAGCAGAGGTCTGCAGCAGCGCACAGACATTCCCCACATCCCCTTTATGCCCTTTATAGTGTATAATATAATAATATAATAATTTTATAGATAATTTGACAACTTTCTGATAACTATAAATGTATATATTAGACAAAGTGGTCAAGAATAAAATTAAATTTCCACTAGGACCTTGTCCAGGTTTTATAGTCAAACGTCCAAATCTGACTTCTAGTTTTTAGTTTTTCTAAATTTATTTTTCAGATCTTTAGGCATTTAGAAAACACCCCAGCAGTGGCTGCATCTCTCAAAATGACACCAACAGAGGACGCTCTACCCTCACTCTTAATATTTTAGTACTGCAAGTAAAAGTCTTTTAGCTCCTATCTGGCTGGTTAGCATTGTCGTGTAACGGAAGAGCGTCTGTGATGCATCATATTCTCGTGACTGTCAGCTTAGCCAAAGTAATGCCAGAGGAGGATACCCATAAAAATCCGTTTAATTGTGTGCCTTTGCTTAGACCTGACAGTCATGTCCAGATGTAGAATTTAATTATGGCTCAGATGGAAAACACTCAGTCATTCAGCTAGTTATCGTGGGCACAACCAGTGTTTGCGCTGATCTACTAAACACGAGCTAAACGTGCTCATCATGCATCTCTGTTACCTCTGTAGGTAAGTTTGGTGCCACACTGAAAGTGAAAAGTGTATGCTACCATTTCGAAAATTACAGTTATTCAGACTAGACGCTGCCATGTTTAAAAGGGACTTTCAAACAGCTGCTTACATGCCAGAAGGAGACACTTGAAACGTTGCTGAAAATATTTCATCATTTGACGCCGACTAGCATCTCTCAGAGTAAGAAGAGTTTAGATATTTTACTGTAGTCAAAAATTACAGTAGTACAATTTAAAGTTAGTTTTTGATGATGTGGCGACGATGATCGGGGCGACGGTGGCACAGGAGTTAAGTGCTCGCCCTGTAATTGGAAGGTTGCAGGTTCGAGCCCCGCTCAGTCTGTCGCTGTCATAGTGTCCTTGGGCAAGACACTTAACCCACATTGCCTGCTGGTGGTGGTCGGAGGGACCGGTGGTGCCAGTGATCGGCAGCCTCGCCTCTGTCAGTGCGCCCCAGGGCAGCTGTGGCTACATTGTAGTTCATCCCCACAGCGTGTGAATGTGTGTGTGAATGGGTGAATGACCGATTGTGTTGTAAACCGCCTTGGGGGGTTCCGGGACTCTAGAAGGAGCTATATCAAATACAGGCCATTTACCTTTTACCATGTAATGATTACCGTATTTTCCGGACTATAAGCCGCTACTTTTCCCCACACTTTGAACCGTGCGGCTTATAATGAGGTGCGGCTTTACTGAAGATTTTCCTTCACCTGCCAGGGGGCGCTTTAGCAGGAAGTGAAACAGGTGGAAGTCAAACGTGGAAATCGAAGAAAGTGCTCATTTTCATTTAGCACATGCAAGCAGCCGGCACGATGAAGATTCTTTTTTCAAATCCACACCCCCCATCATGGTAACTACACGTATGAGTTCATATGACGCCGCATTTAAGTTGAAGGGCATCGATCTGGCAGTAAAGGAGGGAAACAGTGCTGCCGCACGTAAGCTTGGCATGAATGAATCCATGGTTCGGCGATGGAGACGGCAGTGGGAAGAACTCATTCAAGCCAGCTTCACCCGGGGATGATGACAGCAACACGGACAGCGACACTGACATGGCCACAGAAAAGGTATGTGACGAAACTCTTCTGAGGCTGTTCAACTCCGACACTGAAGAAGAGGACTTTAATGGCTTTAGAGCGCAAGAGGAAGATGAGAGCGAATGACTTCTTCTGGCAGGCAAGTGTGTTTTATTTACTAACCAGGCATGTTTTGTGTGCAGTTTTTATTTTCTAATCATCCAGGGCTTATTAATGCTGTGTTAGCGCTGTTCTTTTCTTCTAAACATGCAAATTATCTGTAATAACGTGTCAGTGCTGTTTTTATTTTATAACCATCCAGAAATATGAATGCTATCAGTGCTGTTCTCTTTTCTAATCTTGCAGGCATGAATGCCTTTTAAGTTGTATTCTGGGGGACAAAAGCTCTGGTGCGCCTGTTTCAGCATGGAGAATTCAGCCAGAGGAAAACGTAGCTTCAGACGATAGGATTTGTAGTCCTATTTCCTGACTTTTGGACTTCTCTCTTCTTATTAGCTAACAGCAACGCGACTCTACCACTGACTCTGGTTGCTCTGCAACGTTGATGTTTCATCTTCACAAATAACACAAGCCTGGAGGAGTTCTGCTGGTTGGTGGAGTTGCTAATGCTAACAGTTTGCTTCTACTAGCAGAGACGTTCTCTACTGTTTCCTGGACGCTAAACCAACAGCGGCCTTCCCCGTCGTGAGTCCAGATGGGTGAGTCCATGAATGTTAAGTGACAGGCTGACATAGATCTGTCAGGATTTTCTATCCTAGAATATCACCGTCTGTTTTCTATCAGAAGCTAAAGCAGGAGATGGGTGTAGGAGACTATTTTCATGTTCAGCCTGCATGAAACACTCAGGATCATCAGTTTCTCTGTGAAGGACCTTTTTAAACATGACGATGAACTAATTATGAACTATGTATCTACAATATAACAGATGGACTACCTGTTCCTCTTTGGTGTAGAGCTGGAAGCACTCGTCTAAGGTGCAGCTAAACTGCTGGTCGTGCTGCTGCTGCAGATTTCTGACGCTGTCTGCCTCCTTCACCACTTCCTCGTGGATGTTACCAAACAGGCTGTGGACCCAAGGCCAGAAGAGTTTGTTGAAGAAGATATTTAAGTCATTTAAACAAAAAGTTAAGCGGTTAAAAAGTAAACACCAACCAGTCTTTGACTCTGTGCTCCCACTCGATGATGAGCTTGACGTGAGGTGGTCCTCCTGAACCACAGAGCTTCAGCGCTCTGAAAGTAAAAGCAGTTAGTACAATGAAAGATCAGAGCACCTGGAAAGTGCAATTGTGTTGAAGCTTTTCAACCAGAGGGTGTCAGCATTGTTGCAGCTCTGGTGTATAACCGGCCGGCTCTTCCCCACATTTACAATGTCCTCATCAGAGGGGATGCTTTTTAAAAAGTCAACTTCATAACTGTTATTAGTGTTTGTTTATAGTGAAGCGGTATCTATGCGACACTATCTGAAGTCACCCAGGCAGCGGGCATGTTCTGAGCCAAAAGCTGACATCAGCATGACGGCAATGACAACTACTGGCTGTGAAACAAAGATGATGTCAGTCAGGTTGATGTCAACATGCAACTGCAGCATACACGGTACTACGTATATTCAGCATTTGAGTTTAAAACGTCAGTGAACCAACTTTTACTCATCAGTCCGACTTCTCCTGCACTTGTTTGTGTGACCCAGACATGCTGTGTTTATGTGTCACGTGAAGACTGAGATGCAAAGACACAACACACAGTGTTTACTGTTTGGGTTTGGAAAAGAAGCCATGTTTGTTTATAAAAGTAGAGCGTTTATCCACTTAGGTCAGAGCCACAGACTGGGCTCATTAGACGATTAAGACACCAGCATGGAGTGGATTTATGGAGCAGTACAGCACTGTTAAAAAAAAAAAACAACTTTATTCATCACTTAAATGTTTCAGATAAACAAAATGTTAAATAAAAATAACCCAAGGAAATTTCAAATGATGAGTTTATCTCTCAAGAGAACAAAGCTACTCAAACCAAGATGGTACTGTGTGAAAACGTCACCTCCGTCCTGGAAATAATCATAAATGAACTGATTAATTATATTATTATGAAAGCAGACTTCTGTTCCACCAGCCACTCCAAAACTCTACCACTACCAGACCTGTGCAGAAATCGCTCCAGTATAACCAGTCTGACAACATGAAGTACGTTGAAAGATCTCAAAAAGCAACACATCCCACTGCGTTCTAAAGCAATTCTGCAATAAAACAACTTGGAACCGCTGAAGCAGAGCTGAAGGTTAAGGTCAAACGTTGTGATTTAACAAGGGGGAGTTGCAAAAATCAAATCAGGACCACCACTGAAAAAAACCCCATAAAGTCCAAATTTGGCTAAATTTCCTCATTGTGACATCACAATAAGGGACTTTTTGAAACAGCTCATTTTAGGCCCATAATTCCTAAAACCAAACACTGACAGAAAATGGATGGACAGCTTATAGAGGCAGCAGAGACACACGTGGAAGCATTAACAGATCCAAAAGGTGAGTTTTGAGTAATACTTGTGTAATACTTTTAATAAAGTAACTATAGTTTGTATTTACTCAGGTTATCTTTGAAGCAAAACAGGAAGTCTGTAAGGTGGTATAAATACTCTTTTCACAGCTCTGTAACTTACTTTATGACACTTTTTGTCCTAAACAAAATGATCTATGAGGTTCTTTTGAGAATGTGTCTCTTTACAGTTGATTATGTATTATTGGAGGTTGAAGCTGCTTTGATTTTGTTGGTTACACTGTAGAAACAGAATTTGTGCAGAATATATTTTTACTATTCGCTTACAGAATAACATTACGGTTAATAAATCACAACGACACAAGAGGAAATATAAAAAATACATGAAGACACTCCACTCAGAGTGGAGACAGTATTTAATATGTGATGCAACAACTGTTTAATAACGGCAAAGAAAACTCAGAGCATTGTTTTAGAGACAGAGTCTGAACGCAGATTTTATGACTGGTAATTGACAGTCATGCTGAATGACTAGTGTAACTTAGCGGTGAAAAAAGACCTGCACTGGTGTAACGCTGGTGCTTTTGCAGATGATTCCTAACTCTATCTCTACCAGTCCTTTACCCGATCACTTTATCTAACATTGTCCCCTGTTTTTAAGACAAATATAAACATCTAGCTTCTGTAAATTTAGAAATATCGTTGTTCCACCTTCTATCTTCTTGGTAGGGCTGGGCGATACGGCCTAAAATCAATATCACGATATATTGAGGATTTCACCTCGATAACGATAAATGGACGATAACTACAGGTATGCTCAGAAGCAAACGTTGTCCACTAGATGGGGCTGTCACACGTATTACATTTAGTCACATTTTTACATGACCCAAGGTGGTACAGCTTCTTAACTCATTCGCTGCCAGCGTTTCTCGCCTTTTTTACAGTTTTTTTAAGAGTCACAAAACGTTAAGCGCTAGGATGATGTCAACGCCAAAACAACCAAAACAAAGCGGAGACTCTTCTCTTATATCAGGAAGAATCTGCACGTTTCGAGCATTATCCGTTCTTTCATAATCCGTTGTCGAATTGTGATCGGCAGACGCTTTTCCGGTTTGCGCCTCACTTTTTTTACAGGAACGGCCCAAAGCGATCTCCTAACACATGGATGCTCTGCTTCCTGATCACGTGACGTGTGACGTATGCGGATGAAGATCGGCTTCAGAGCTGAGATGTTTGTTCTCTCGGCGCGGGGGCTCGTCCGACGCCCACACAGTAAAAACATGCATTGGCAGTGAACGAGTTAAAGGGACATGAACGTTGCCAACCCTTCACACGTCTTTTCATATTTTATTATCAAAATTATTGACCCGGTAAAAATTATCTCGATTAAAGTCAGAAATTTCGATAACAATAAATTTTCTATTCATTGCCCAGCCCTACTTTTTGGGTAACAAATTAAAACATAAGATCAGATTCGCTTTTTCAAAAACCTGGGTCTTTTACTAGGAGACGTTTTCAGGTGCTTCCACGCCAGCACAGTCTGGTCTGGACCAGCTGGTGCAAAACTTACCCAAATTCTGAGACTGTTATCAGACAAGGCCCAGTTGACATGGCAAGATAGTTATCCCCATTTTTGATCTGATTCTCAAATCTGACAGTCTTCAGGCCCTAAGCCCTAAACACATATATTAATATCATAACCCTTGCCCAATAATACAGGCAGTGCAGTAATATGTGCTCCAGCCTCTCTGTACCAATGAAGACCCTGGCTGCAGAGTTCTGTCCCAAATGCAGTCTGGCTCAGTCCAGATTACAGTGGATTACAAGTCAAACCTGGACAGAATAAAGGGTGAGTAACAGTTTCCAAGTGAGGGCTTAATCTTGACTAAATGGAATAGATTTAATAATATGATCATACCACCGCTTTGATCTGTGCATCATGTAGCGTGATGAAGGCTCTCTGATGTGTGGCAAAGGTCGCATTTGCCAGCTGGGTCAAGCTGGGTCAAACAGTACTTTTTGAACCCACAGATTAACCCAAGGAGCCACGATGTCTGCTCAAGATCATAACATCATATCTGCTGTTCCGTCCCAAGAAGGACACTTCAAGCCACGATGATAATAATTAGATAATATTTACTAAACTCATTGATTTTATTACTGTTTAATATAATCATCATAACATGATCACTTTGCTCATTATAAAGGTATTTTAATTACATGAAATGGATTATTATGCTTTGGTTATAATAATAATTATTATTATAATGATTAAAGATGTGTTTAGCAACAAGGTCAAGTTCACCCTATCCAGCTAACACAGAGTTCAGATAAACAATAACTGCATCACATGTTCTTGACGCATGAGCAAGCTTTCTTCCGGAGAGAGTGGGAGGAGTTCTGAGAGCTTTTGGTAAAACTAACCATCACAGATTCAAGTTCAGTTCTGTAACCAACATCAGCCTGAGGAGCCAGGGACGGCCGCCCTGACCCTCTGCCAAGCTGTTCTGTCACGCCGACAAGAATAGCCAAAGAATAAACGGAACTGTAAACCAGCTAACGAAAGACTCTACCAGAGTCATTGATTTCTGAAGTTCAGTTAAAGACGAGAACGTTCATCTGCCAAACGCTTCATTCACCGAGTGACCCAAGAAGACATCTCAGGACCGATCTGGTCGTGCTAGAGGTTTTTCTACCAACCTCGTGCCTGGAGGAAACCCATCTCCACCTGCGCGCTTCGGATCCAAACGGGGGTCTTCTGATTGGGTGAGGCAGACCTCGACAGAATGCGTTTGATGCTGTTTCTCTCAAAAATAACTCAGTTATCCGAAAACATCATTTCCACCCAGAACGCTTTCATTCTCTCTGAAAGAAACCTTCTGAGAACTTCATTCATGCATCCAAAACTCATCATTCTCATTTTAGCTCCATTCAGTCACAGGTTTGCTTTTAAACAAGTAATATCCAAACTGTTAAAGATTGTCATTAAAATTGCCATCCATGAATTGTCATTTTATAATTGTCATTTCAAATCTTTCGTTTAAAAATTGTTAGTAATAAAATTTCTTCATTTTTAAACTTGCCTCATTATTGAAACGAAACACAGAAAAGGGTTGCATTTCCATTTATCGAATGAAAAGAATCTTACTGAATCCTCTGTTTAATAAATAAACTTTTGCTATTAATTTAAGTATCTTAAATTAAGTATTAATCCGTAGATTAATCATAGACCAAGCTCGTTGGTGTATGATCTTCTATCGCTTATATTAATATTTTAAATTGATATACAATAGAAGCTTCATATATTAACTAGTTTGTGTCATCCTAGTTTTAGCATTGAATAGCACGGTGTTAGAACTGTGTGTGTGAGGTTTTTACCCCATTACAATCAGAAAAAAGGACTGCAGCCATTTTTACACCTAAACAGTTGATGACCATCTTCTCATACGGGCCCAGGAACACGAGGTCAACACAACGGCCCAGGGACAAATGAGAGTATGTGCTGCATTGAGCAAGGGGAGTCCAAACCCTTCTTATCCATCATGTTTATTTACTGCGATGTCACATTCGATCTCAAGAGGGTTGGTGAGAAATCCTGTCCGACCTCAGAGTGCTTGTGAGTGAAATCGGTTAATATGTGATGTGTGGTTTTTGATGTTGGCTGCACACCACACACTGTAGGACCAAAAGCCGTGATTTTGTTCTCAGCATAAACGGAGTCCCTCCACAGGGGCAGCGTGCCGACAGGCAGGGCAGGCGATTTCTTGTGGCCTCTATAAGAGGAACCGCAGTAGTGACAGTGAAAAGCTGTCATTGGACAGAACTGTTGGTGGTTCCTCCCTCTCCCCAATGGAAACCTCCCTTCTGACTGCTCAGCCAGAGACAGATCACACTTTCTCGTCCAACCCACTCCCCCAAGACAAAGAATCTTGTCAGCGCTAGCCCCCGGAGGAGCAAAGTGACCGGTGCTTGCATGTGCCAACAAGCTTTGTTTTCTCAATAAATATTTTATATTACATTAGAGCAGGGGTCACCAACATGGTGCCCACGGGCACCATGGTACCCTCAGGATCCATTTAAGGGACCCTCGGGCCATTTCTTCAAATAACACGAGTCTAAGATCAATAAATAAATAAAGCAGCTGACATTTCCCCCAAATCAGCAAATCATTAAAATATGTTTATTATGCATGAAGTTTAGTTTACCTCTGATCTATTCCAGGTCAAAGGTCAACATCGTACCAACCTGGTAGCCCTTCGTATGATTCACTACCCATGAAGTAGCTCTCAGCTTCACGAAGGTCAGTGACCCCTGGATTAGAGCAAATTCTTCTTTCATAACTTTTAACATTCAATAAAGAGAAATTAGCTCCTGGGAACATTTGATCTGTTTGCTGAATATTTTGCACACAGCCATTTCACAATAAAAGACGGCATCGCAGAATAATCTAATAATCAGTTTGACAAAAGACGAACTCAGCTGCATGACTGAGTCTGATAAAATAAGACTTTTCACTATGAAAAAAGCATTTCTGTTTTTATCGGCAGACATTTCCAAACAAAAAGAGATGCATAGCTTTGCCAGTACTTATGATTTTTCTTTACTGATTTCATTTGCTCCCTTTTGTAGTTTGGTAGAAAGATCTTAAGGGAAAGAGTCTAATGATCTTTAGTGCTCGTGAGTGGCTCTTTCATTAGGATTAAACATGTTGAACTGAGCAGTTGATCTAAAGTCATTTGCGGAGCCTCTAAATTATTTTGTAGAACTGCTGAGTCAGAGCAGCTAGCTTTGTGTGGGCAGTTTAACTACAGGCCATTTTTCAGCTCTGTACATGTTGGTTTACCGACCGGTGGACGCTTCCGGATAAGAAAGCCTGGAGCCACTGTTAAAGGGATTGTTCCCATATTCTGAAGGGAGTTACTTCCTAAAGGTTTATGGACAATTAATATCTTACCTGTTGCAGATCGCTCTGAGAACAACCTCAGTTTGAATGAAAAAATAATTTGTTTCAATCAGATTGTTGAGCTAGAGGCTAATCTGTAAGTGCTCTACTAACAGAAACACTATCATTCCATAATAATTTCTTATTACAGTTTTGATTCCTGCAGGAAAACGGCCAACTTCCACCCTCAGTTCCCAGCACTAAGATGGTCTGTTAATTAGCATTCACTAGGGATTCCCCGATACAACTTTTTCTCTTCCGATATTGTAACCATCAGTATTGATCGATACCGATATCAATCTGATACGATATCAGCAAAAATCACACACGTTTATCTATTTTGTGGTGTGGAACGCATGAAAGGCTTAATCAAGTGATATTACTCATTCGAAGAGCACGATCCAATAACAGTAAGTATGAAAAAAAGACAATTTCGAACTGCCTATATTGGAGATTTTTGATGCAGTCAGATATAATCCCATACAGTGTTTTTGGGCTGATATCGATATCGGAATGGGACATCCCTAGCATTCATGTTAACCTCAAAGGCATGTTTGACACTGGAGTTGTTTAAAAGGCAGCACTAATCCACTTTAGTCCTGGCCCTGTTCAGACCAGCGTTCCTGTGCCAGTCAAGGCAGACCTTTGTTTTTTGATGTTGTATCTCCCACCTTCATCTTAGGGACATACCATTGTTACGAAGTGATGGATAGTATCTGGTGTTCGTCCGGCTGTTTTGAGGTTTGCTCAGAGAGGTAATGTTCATCTTATTAGACAACATTTTATCCGAGTAGTTTAAAGGCATTTTGACGATCTCTTAAAAACATTACCAACTAACATTGACAAGTTAATTTATTATTATTGTTGATTTAGGGTTAGGGTTCTGCCTCCCTAACCAATTAACCTGAGGTGTGTTTCCACTATTGGAACTTCAGGGTAAAATTCCCGGAAGTTTATGGCATGCACTTGTCTTCACTTCAGCAGGCTGGCCCAAAGGACCATTTTCCAAGACCAACTTTCAAGAACCAATGGAATACCTGAACAGGGGTAGGCACTTGCAAAGGTTCGGTAGAGTTGCTGGGCAGAATCTTTGGTTAACTCTTGCTGACTCAGTAGGAAATGACATCAGTAGACATTAACCAAAATAACCGCATTTGCAAAATTGAAAGAGTTGCTAATGAAGTAGAATGGAAAAAAAAGAAAATAAGAAGTGCTTTGAAATCGTCGTTACTAAATTTCCACCAGAAAACGCAGCAGAACCCCCCAATGCCAAAATTCACGGGGCTTTGTTGTCTCAAAGCACTGTAAAAAAAAAACGGTGCTTCTTCTTGTCACCTTTTACATCCCACAGCTGCTCTCGGCCCTCCGACTCGATGAAATTATGCCGTACTTTCAAAGAGTATAACTTTAAATGACATTGCCCACGGACACTTTTTGGCGCGGATCTGTTACATCACTCCGTGCCAAAGCAGCAGGCCGTACAACAGCTGAACATCGTATTTCCCGTCGAATTTTCCCCATTCCAGAAATGTCCCAGAATTCCGAAAGTGGACACTTAAACATCTTAAGTTAAACAGCTTGGGTTTCTTAGTTTAACCCTCCCACTGTCCTAATGGGTGTGACCCCGCCAGGAAAGTTGACCATTGAGCAGGGTTGATGGTTTATTCCTTGGGTCCATGTGGCAGGGGTGAGGAGTGAGCACCACCTCACCCCTGCCACATGGACCTCAAGGGATAAACCATACATCCTGCTCAATGGTCAACTTTCCTGGTGGGGTCACCCAAAAAGACAGTGGGAGGGTTAAAAGAACAATGAATGGTGATGTAAACTAAAAATGGTAAATAGCCTGTATTTGATATAGCACCTTCTAGAGTCCTGGAACCCCCCAAGGCGCTTTACAACACAATCAGTCATTCACCCATTCACACACTGTTGGGGATGAGCTACGATGTAGCCACAGCTGCCCTGGGGCGTGCTGACAGAGACGAGGCGCCACCGGTCCCTCCGACCACCACCAGCAGGCAACGTGGTTTAAGTGTCTTGCCCAAGGACACAACGACAGCGACAGACAGACAGACTAAATATTTCTGGATGTTTTTGTTTTAGCAGCCCATCACAATCATCTTGCTTATGTTACAAAGACAGTTTCAGAGGCGTTGTTTGACAGGATCACTGACCAATTACAATAGACAGCTGTAATACACCCGGTCCTTTCACACCAAACACGCCAACAACACAAAGGTCCCTAATCTAGAGCTGCTGTCCACTGGTTACGTCATTAGCTCGGTGCTGAGTCAGCGTGTGTTTGGACTCAACAGGCTGGTGGGGTAGAGTCAAGTCAGTGACAGCAGCATTGTTTGTTAGAATAAAATAGAATAGAATAGAATAGAATAGAATAGAATAGAATAGAATAGAATAGAATACAATAGAATAGAATACAATAAAATAGAATAGACTTTATTGATCACACAGTGGGGAAATTCACTTGGAACTCCACTGGAAAACCAAACAGTTTGAACAAACTGATGAGCTCAAAATGACAAGAAACAGAAAATAGCCTCTTCCAAGACATTGCCTACAAACTGAAAATGTCAGATTTTCATGTCGGTGTAAGCGAACGAACAACCAAAACGGTTTTGTTTGGAGATCAATGAGCTAGGCACCGACGTGTCACTGTGGTGACAGAGCGGAGATCTAAAAGGCTTCAGTAAATGTTGGCTTTCGCTCAACTTTTTTCTTTCTAGTTTAGATCTTCAAATGTTTTTCATGTTGATTTGTTTTTATTCACTTTTTTTAACCCTCCCACTGTCCTAATGGGTGTGAGCCCGCAAGGACCTCCTCACCCCTGCCACATGGACCTCAAGGGATAAACCATCAATCCTGCTCAATGGTCAACTTTCCTCGCGGGGTCACACCCATTAGGACAGTGGGAGGGTTAAACATTTATTAGAAAATTAGTATTTTTCGAACTAATTGCACCATTTTTTTTAGTGTTTGCAGCTTCTTGACCCCAAATAGTTGGGTGAAATTAAACATCTACACCAACCAAAAGCTTGAGTCTCAGGATTTGTCCCTTACTATCTTCATAATCTGGTCTCCAAACCTTCTCAAAATAGTCTCACATTTCTTCTGTCTCAGTGAAACTAAACGGGGACGGGTTCCAGGTCTGTGCAACAACTGCGGGACTATTTTGAGAGGAAGTTTGTAACAGAAACCTTTTTAACATGGTGTTTGCAGTTTGCCAATGACAGTTGCAGTCCAGTAAGACACTGGCTTTAGTCGTTTCTGGTAGGAGAACATAAATAAGGAAAAAGGAGAGGAACGATCTCAGTAGAATAACTCAAATTAGTCAGAGAGAGGGCCAAAAGCTTTAAAAGGGCTGCTGCCTTATCTTTCAGATTTCCAACAGGGAAACTTTCTTTTTATTCAAACTTGAGCAACTTTTTATAGAAGTGATAAACTTGATAGAAGCATCAGGGAATACAGCACGAGTTACAGCGTGAATATTTTCAGAGGTTGTGACACAATAATGAGTATTTCTCAGTGCTGCACAGGATTCATAATTCACCAGGAAATGTAATCAACACCCACAGATTAAAACCTGATAATAGAATATTGCTCAGATTGGATCTGGCGTTGGATAAGGAAGCCATTCAACACGCGGGGCCAGTATGGCAGGTCTGTTGTCTGTATGTTTGATGGGTGGCGTCTACGAGACATCAGTGTCCTAGGAGAAACAATCCAGATGCTTTTTAATGTGCGGTGACACTCACCTGTCCACAGTGGGATGGTAGAGCGGCCGTCCATCCTGAGGTGACAGGTAGCTGTAAAACGGTGATCCTCCAACAACTCGGACGTTGAAACGCACTCTGGTGTTCTGAAAGAGGGACAAAACCACCGTTACCCTTTTAAACACGAGCAGAAACATCTCAGGAGACTCCAGACAGACAGGGGCGCCTCCAGAAAATTTTGATAGGGGTGGCCAGATGGGCCCAAAGAAATTTTTGGGGTGGCACACCAAATTGGTCCTTGTGGTAACTATGGGACAATTTAGCCTGTGGCGATGTACTGCATTGCGCCTTCATTCGTTTTTATTAAGATAACAGTACATATCCAAAACATTTAACTTAAATTTTACAAACGCAAACATTTTAGAAAACACATTTCAGTTATTTAAAATGTTACCCAAGATTTCATTTAAAATTTAAATTTTTTAGGTGTATTCACCTGTGTGGCTGTGTTCACAAAAAATAAATATAAAAACTATGGAGATAAAAACTTTTTTAAAATGGTGAGCAGCAGAAAAATATGCATATTTTTGTATTCTGATTATTCCTTTAGTCATTTTCCTGGGGGGGGGGGGGGGGGGGGGGGCTCTTGGGGGCGCCCTAGCAGACGGACCAAAGACCTCGCCACGGAGAGCTGGTGTTCATTAGAGCGTCTACAGGTAAACAGTTTGCCTTCGTTTGTGTCTGTTGTCATTTGATTTTGCTCGCTCTCTCACTCATTAGCTTAACCGCTTACGCCTCACTAGGGTCGCAGAGAGCTGCTGTCTAACTCCAGCAGAGCGAGAGGAGGGGACACCTTGGATAGGTTTCTCGTCCATTACAGGGACACACAGACAGAGACAAAGTCACTCACACGTATAGGTACTTTAAGTCCTCAGTTAACCCATCATGCCTGTTTTTGGTCTGCAGGAAAATGCTGAAGTAACTCACCAAGCAGAGTTGGGATCACTACCTAGTGATTTTAGGACATTTTTACTCACAATGCCAGTTTGATCCATTCACTTACTGTGTTTTATGCTAAGCTAAAGCTAAAGGAGCTCAGCAGCTCCTACCAGGACTCTGGCTAGCCAATCACAACTCTCTAGAGGGGTTTCAAACACATAAAGAGCTGTGATTGGTCCATAATGGTGGGCCAATCATAGTGCTCTATCTGCTTAGTGAACAAATCACAGAGCTTTATCCGCTTTGTGGGCCAATCAGGGCACTCTATATGCCTGGTGGGTGGGATGATGCAACAGAGTGAAACAAGAGTATGTCACATTCATTGTCCAGTGGAATGCGGAGATCATTTGAAAGACAACGGTAGAACCCGCCCCACAACCGAGAGTCGTCAATGGAGCGTGGCCAGCTGGCTTGCCAGGCTACAGGACCAGGGCATTGCCGGAGAATGTATGAAGAAGACATTTATTATTTCTATACATGTTTTGGCTGTCAAACTTCCATTATGCCCCTTTAATTTAACCCATATACACAATTTAACAAGTAAATGGCTTGTTATACATTTACATTGAAACTTACAAGTATTAAATATAACGTTACCTCACGTGATGCAAGTCTGTTCCATTTAACCGTTTTCTTTGACAGGAAGGACCGTGTCCTCGTAAGCAAGGCGCCCGGCCCCACAACACATTGAGAAACCCCCTTAGACTCACTCGTGTGTATTTTACATCTGTTATGTGTTAAGCCTGGTTTATGCTTCTCCGTCAGCTCCGCAAGGGACAGACATGCACGGATTGACGGATGCGTTTTGCTCTTTTACTTCTCCGTCTCCTGGGGAGTGTTGCAAAGCAATTGCCCAGCAGGACAGCAGAGGGCGTAGCGCTGTTCTGTGGTATCCTGTCATGTATCGGTCCAAGATTGTGTGTTTATATTGTGTTTTTTGTGTATATAAGAGACTTTTAACACGGACATATTTGTCTCTCATTCTCCCACTGCTTCATGCGCTCCCCACCTCTAAACCCACGTTTCCTGTCATTTCCGTCCACAAATAAAACGCTTGCTGCGCATCTTTTCACTCCTCCAGTCACGGGAGAATGAAACGTTCACATTTTTAGAGTTTTTTCGCGAGGTATTCTTCAAGCTTCTCCGTGTCTGCCGCTAGTTATCCTCGGCTCTCTTTGCAATGGCGGCGCTGTAAACAACAGCGGCGTCCTGACCAATCACAAGCTTGCGTAATCCGTCTCGTTCGACGGATGTTTAAAAAAGTGGGCTCGACTCCGTACGTACTTGCGTGCCTGCTGGAGCCCTACGCAAGGACGGATAATGGCGTTGCGTGTCTCCGCACTGACGCAGACGGAGAAGCATAAATCAGGCCTTACAAAGCCGACAACAGTTTTCAACAACGGAGCATCATTTAAACTACACATTGTCCTTTTAAGTTATTTTCTTCGGCACTACTTTATTTCTACTCCACTGCATTTTCTGGAAAGTTTTAAAAGTAAAATGACTTTAATTAGCATTTTACTTTGAAGGTACATTTGAATATGCTTCTTTTATTACTTTTCTTTAAAAAACAAGTCACCCCCAAATCAAATATTTTTTTCTGATAAACTATACAAATGTGTGTCTAATCGTGCTGCAGACACGTGTAGTCAATAGTTTTGCACTTTAGTGCATTTTAGTTAAAATTTAAATGTTCTGCCTAAAACTGTCAGTGTTGTGCCGTCGTCAGGTAAAAACTCTGCACTGCATTTGAATTTAAATCTGCCATCGCTATTGGCTAAGAGGTACCCTAGAACGTTCGCTGGTACCATATGATGTCACAATGTCGTTGTGAGTCTGTGTGTGTTTGTTAGCGGCTCTGCCCTCTCGGTCTGCTAGGCAACAGCATTTGTTGCATTTTTCAAACAGGAAGTGGGAGTTGAGTAAGAATCTGGTAGGGGGTGACTTGCTCTTTAAGTAAAAAAATTCTAGGACACTTCCAGTTTTACTTGAGTAACTTTTTACTCATTTATCTGTACTTCAAGTACTTGTTCCACCGCTGCCTGAAGAAAACCCACACATGCACGAGGACAACATGCTAACTCCACGCAGAAAGGGCGCGGCCAGGACTCGAACCGGCAACCTTCTCACTGCGACCAAACAGTGCTGCCAACTGTGCCACCATATTCCAAACTATATGATTTCATTACAGTTAATAGGTATCACTGCTGACCACGGCGAAATGGTGAAAACAGCTAACTTCTGTTGTATTCAGATGACTCAGAACGGTTCCTGTGTCCTGCCGTTTGACAGAAGGTTGAGAGAAAAGCAAAAGCAAAGAACCGGGATTTCCTCTCGTCCTCTGGGGCACAAGGATATTACTCTTCGCTGTAGGAATGATGATAACACAATTCTAAAAAATGAAACTGATTTCCTCTTGTTCTGCTGAGATCAGGAGAATCTGCAGGAGGAGCTCAATCACACACACACACACACACACACACACACACACACACACACACACACACACACACAATCCCCCTGGAACGCTCGACCCCCCGGGGATTATTACAGGATGAATCAGAATGACTGCCTAACACATGTCAAATACAGAAACATTTAAAAACAAACACCGCGGAGCTCCTGCAAACGCAGTTATCACAACATCCATCACCCCCAGGTTAGATTACTGTAAGGCTCGTTATTTTGGCATCAGAAGCTCTGTTGTCCTGTCTGCAGCTGGAGCTGAAACCTGCAGCCAAACTGGCACCAGAAAAATAGACAGCATCACCCCCGTGTTAGCATTTCTTCCCAGGCTTCCTGTAAATATCACCTTGATTTACCCACAGGAGCAGCCTTCCACTTCTTACTGAATGTGCTTCTTTTATTTAGACCTTTATAACACAGCTTATTACATTTAATTTACACTTTTTTTGTGGGGCACGAAGTGTATTTGCAAACTGTATGAAAGAAACGGTCTCCATGAGCTTTCAAATGTGATTTAAACCCCCACCCCCCCAACCCCCCGAGGCGTTTAGTCTTCCCTAAAACAATTTCTCTCTTGATTTCAGATTTTAAGCAGCCCTGAAGGAGTCGGGTGTTTCTTTGGTTACTGAAGCATAGATACTGACATGACATTTCAGGTAGCGTTAATCAGTGAAATAATCCCAAAACAGACTAATATCTCAATCACGTTGGAAAGAAGGTTACATTGAAACAGATTTCCTTCTCAGCCGGCTGGACGGGCTGCTGGTTTTTCTCCTTTTAAAAGGAGTCCCGCCTCGATACTTCCTGGTTCCAGAGCCAATCATCTGTGAGCCCGAAGGGTTGCCAAGTCTGCACCAGCTAAAGCTGCTGTGCTGGTGTAAATCGACACCAGCCGGCAAAAAAAACCCAAAAAATACCAAACCTGGCAAACAAGCAGGTGCACTGGCCAGCTTGGAAGGAGGGGCTTCTGTCCACCAGTCGGTGCCCTATTACCCCCCCCCCCCCCCACCCCCCACCCCCACCCCCACACACACACACGTTGAAACGAGTTTAATGAAAATCCAGTTTTTGTTCCCGGATTAAAAAAACTAATTAAATTAGTTTGCAGAAGAAGCTCACAGAGATGAAGCAAGCACGTGTTTGATATCACCGCTAGGTTAGCACAAGCTAACTAGCATACCCTGATAACCTTTTTCTCAAAACAAATATATATTTTTGTCGTAACTGGTGTTATCTGGTGACCTTCTCGCCCTGTTGCCGTTGTTGTGCTACAGGTTAGCAACTCAGTGAAGAAAATGTAAACAAAAAACAGGCAGAACAAAGATAAACCTCTCTCAGAACCATTGATGAAGCATTGACTACCTGGACTGGGGCTCCGTTTATCATCAGGTAATAGAGCTTGCTGAGGATGCTTTGCTGGAGTTGGTCCCAGGAAATAGACCGATCCTCCCTCATTAGGAAAGGAGGTCCAAACCTTAAAAGAACAGTAAAAAAGTGTTACAGAGCTACAGAACAAGAGCCTGCAATGCATCTGGAGTTTTCCTCTCCACTGTCGCTGCATGCTTGCTTAGTATGAGGACTGCTGTAAAGACTGACACTAGTCAGTGACTCGATGCAACCTGCTGGGTTCCTCATATAGGAAACGGATTGGCTTAATGACCTGACCTGAATTGGAATGTTTACTTTGTGAAGGTCCTTGAAACGACTCTGGTCATGATTCGGCGCTTTATGAAAAAAAACTTGAAATAAAATAAATAAAATCGAGCTAATTATTTTTCACTTGACCCGTCCTGGTCTGACACTTTAGACAGGTCTTTCCAAGAGCTTTGCTTTGTTGGTGTAGTTTTACTTTGAAAGAGGGGAAAAAGGACAACACACTTCCTGTTACATCGCGAACTTTACTCAGAATTCAGACAGAAGCCAGTTATTTATGACTTTTACTGATACCGGCGCTGACCTTTAATTGGACAGACAAGGACAATGAGGAGGAAAACCGCCTGGTGAAGAGAAGGAAAACGGTCTCTCTGGGACAGCGGATCACATTTATGAGTTTGGGACCAGCAGAGCAGCTCAATAAAGGGACAGATTGGAGGAAAATCTCCACATACAGACACTAAGTCATGTCAAATTAAAGCTTCCATGCATGTATAAAGAGAATGAATTTATTTTACAGCCTCCAATGACATCAGTGAGCGAGCGTTGAGAACAGCAGGGGGTCACGGGCAACGTGAGTGGAAGGGATTCACCTCCTAACGCGCGAGCGGCGTTTTAGTCCCTGACGTCTAAGTTGGTCTGAATTTGTCGTTTTCTCTGAGAAACATTTAGTGAAAGCTGTGGGACGGAGGCAGCGGAGCCTCTGCTGTGAAGTCTCCACCTGCCTCCACGCTTGAAGGACGGGCTTAAAAGGTGCAGATGTGAAACATCACAGATTTGTTCCTGCATGTGAAGATGAAATCAGCTTTTGGGTTTTTTCACACATGAAACGTGGTTTCACCGTTCAGAGACATAAACAACCGTGAGTTTCACACTGGTTCTCTCAGTAGCATACCTGTGATGTCATCCTACAAAGAGCTCAGCGAGACGAGTGCAGCTATGTGACTTCAATGTCACTCTGCTGGCACGGAGACCCCCCCCCCGGTCATGTGATGAAAGCGAGAGATGTGGGCGGTTTGAGCGATGATGAAGAGGTCTGTGAAGGAGAATGTGATATCACAGCGGCGTTGGCCGGCTCACCTGTCCTGACCTCTGTAGACGCCGTCTGATGAGTTTCCTCATCGAGGCAGATGTCAGAGTCCTTAAGTGTTTGATCTGGAGCGAATATCACAGATCCTCTCCACGCTTTATAGAGTTAAAGGGACGGTTCAGGTCTTTTTTAATTTTATCAGCTGTTGACAGGTCTTTGAACAACCTCAGCTCAGAGAAACAGAGTTTAACTCTGAGTCCAAGCGGGGCCTGTTATGAAGCATTTCTGCTGTTTTATTATAATTCTACACCAGAGAATATCAAACGTTTTCATACAAATGCTGCTTTATAAACCTTTACACCAAATATTAATATCCACAACATTCGTCTAAACCTTTATTTAATGTTCACACCAAGAAAAAAAGCTATAAAAATTACATTTTATAGGTTATAATTAGTGTACATTCATATTTTAAAATTAGAATTTCACTTTCATAACATCTCCATAAAAAAACTTAAATCAAATGTAATGCCTGTTTTGGTAAAACAAAGGGTCTTAAAGTGACAGTGTGTATTTTTCCTGGCGATAGGGGGCAGTGGATACCCAAATCATTGCAAGCAAGCAGTATTTCTATATTGAAGTAAGACCTTACCAATGGATGCCCATTAGGGTCAAAAAGCCCTTTTTTTAAGTTGGTGCAGCTTATATTTTGGTGAGCTCTATAGTCCAGAAATTACGGTAAATGCATTTTGTCCTCATGAGCTCCTGTAGAAGGAAACATGGCATTTAATATTGCGTCGCCCAGAGACTTGGGGTGTTTCTCAATGCCAAGGAACCTTGCCTTGATGTCTTGGTCCCACCCCGGTTGCCTAGGAGATACATCATCGGGAGCCGCCAAGACGTGTTTCAATGTTCATGTTATACCGAGGCGTGTGTTCTCCGTTTGTTAGCCGTTTAGCTAGCTGAGCGAGGATACACGGGAGGTGTCTTGTAGCCTAACCTTGGTCAAAAACTACCCAGAATACACCGCAGTATTTTCAAAAGGACGGCGGATCAGAAGCCGGCAGCTACTTCGGGGACAATTTTCAAGTTTAAAAGTAAGTCAACTAATTTAAAATGTTTTTTTTTATCCAAAGAAGTTATCTATGGTTGGTTAGTTGCTTAGTAGTTGCAGCTTCGGTGGCTAGCGGTAGTAACTCACTTATATTTTTAATTTAATAAACATATACACAATTTAAAAAGTAAAAGGCTCGTTATATATGTATAGTGAAACTAATACGTATAAAATATAACGTTATCTCCCGTGTCACGTGATGCAAGTCTGCTCCATTTAACCGTTTTCTTTGACCAAGGAAGGACAGTGTCCTCGTAAGCAAGGCGCCTGGCCTTGACGCCTTGACATTGAGACACACCCACAGACCTGCTCTCATGTATTTTAGACCAGATTTTTTTGGTTACATGTTACGCTGCTGCCAGTACTTTTCAACGACTCGGCTTCCTTTAATTCATGTTTAACAATCTTTCGATGGATATATCCAGAGACTAATGGTAAAAACTACACAATGTCTCTTTAACTCATTTGCTGCCAGCATTTTTCAGCGTTTTCACTGATTTTAAGAGTTACAGAACGTTGCACTCTATGATGATGTCGACGCCAAACCTACCAAAACAACGCGGAGTCTCACCTCTTACATCAGGAAGAATCCACGCGTTTCGAGCGTTATCCGTTCTTTCATAATCCGTTGTTGAATTGTGATCGCCAGAAGCTTTTCCGGTTCGCGCCTCACTTTTTTCACGGCAGAGGCCCAAAACGATCTCCTAACACATGGATGTTCTGCTTCCTGATCACATGACGTGTGACGTACGCATATAAAGATTGGCTTTAGAGCTGAGATGTTTGTTCTCACGGTGCGGGGGCTCGTCCGACGCCCACACGTAAAAAGATTGGCAGTGAATGAGTTAAACGCAGCTTAAGTGAGCCCTAATTAGCACTAACGTGAAACTTTAAACTGGAATTTTACAACAATTCACCAGAATCAACGCAAAATGTGACATTTAAAGCAACGTAAAGGTTGGAAAATAACACTTTGCATAAACTTCTATTATATTTATGAGACTGGCTGAAGACACCGGGCTCTCTTTGTGATTATTTATTTGAGCTACTTTCTCCAGCAAGAACTAATCTTTGTTTCTCCAAACTCCTTAAAATGTACATTAAAATTTTTATGCAGGTTTATCAGCAACATCTGCAGCCGTTTATTAACCATCAGAGATGCAGACTGATCCCGGCTTTCCACTGGATGCATATGTGGAACATAATGTAGCAGCGCCATTCCCATCGGGTGCGTTTCAGACACAAAATGGCAGCAAAAGCGTTCCATGCAGCGGGTCCCACGAGGTCACAAAATCACTGGAGAATTGCCGGCCCTCGTGTGACTTTGGCAGTTCACAAGATAAGAAGCAAGAAGGATGATAACAGCAGGGATCCAAAAAGGTCCGGTTTATTTTCTGTTCTGTAACACGCACTTCCTGTTCCTTTCCTAAAATCTGCACATGACTTTTATTTTGAAAGATTCGGGATGTTTTACACTGCATCTATGTTCTGACTTCCTGTTTGGCCGGATCTGAACTGCTGAGCTTGAGGCACTCCAGCAATGTGTGTAAAATAGAGACTCAAAGCATAAAAGGCGTGTCCGTGCGCTACAGGGACGTGTAAAAAAACCCTGATGCTTCACGTCCGGCAGAAACGCACGCATCCACTACAATGGCGGCTAATGGCTGCAAAACGTTTGTGTTTCTCAGTTTCATCACTTCTAAGAAACAAGCAGATTTTTAGGATTTGTTCAGTTTTAAGTATGTTGATTATTACAAAAGCCACTGATTAAGACAAACAAGTATTAAGACGAGGCGTAATTTGCAGCGGACACATCTGCTGTCCCCTGTGATGATGTCACACCTGTTACTGGATAGGAGTCCAGCGGTCAGTGATTACCTTACAGCCTGCTGCCCGCCTCCAGCAGCGTTACACACCAGCAGCAGAATCTTCACAGGGACACCCTGGTTGAGAAACTCTGACGATAACGCCCCAGAAGATGGTAACCTTTGACCCTCTGGACCGGTGGAGTATGGAGACGATGGCAAGCTGTGATGGTACCCTGAGTGAAAACGAGGAAAGCAAATTCTGCCTTTATTTTTTGTTTCCTCTGTGACAGCACACAGCCGCCCTTTGAATTAAAATTCAATTCAAATTCAAAGATACTTTATTAATCCCAGAGGGAAATTAGAGAAGAAATATTGACCGCTGTAACGTTCTGAAAGTGCGATCCTTGAACTTAAGGTAACACCTCGAAGGAGTGTGAGAGAACACTGAGATTTCTAAACTGGTGAGACGGCAGCTTTTACTTGAAGAGCGGTGATTCAGCAGCGGGAGCAGAAGGACCAACGGCTGCTGCCTGTTCTTATCTGACGCTGCCTCGGCTGCACATCCTGTCCTGGGGGGGGGGGGGGGGGGGGGGGGGGGGGGCAGAGCACGTCTCTCTTGTTCCCTCGTGTCTTTCTGGGAGCACCAGAGGAGGGTGGCTAACAAAGCAAAGAGTGGGCATGATTGGATCTGTGTGAAATGTGACGTCTACGGTGAGGATGAAACTCCACTCGTACGGGCTTAACCCTCCCACTGTCCTAATGGGTGTGACCCCGCGAGGAAGGTTGACCATTGAGCAGGGTTAATGGTTTATCTCTTGGGTCCACGTGTCAGGGGTGAGGAGTGAGCACCACCTCACCCCTGACACGTGGACCTCAAGGGATAAACCATTAACCCTGCTCAATGGTCAACTTTCCTCGTGGGGTCACACCCATTAGGACAGTGGGAGGGTTAAGACATGTGTCGGTTCTTAAGAGGTTCATGGTAATAAACCACGCGGTACGTTAGACCTTTACACACAGATGTGAAGGTACTGACTGACAGCCCTCATGTGGCTTTGTTTACTCGAAGGCTAATTTGTATCATCACACTGCCACCACCATGTTCAAATGTTGGTGTGACGTTGAGAAAGGCAATGGCCTGGTTCAGTTTCACCAGCCACACCCTGACCCGATCACTACCAGAACTAACATCACTTCACCACCCGGGCTAGGAGATCTCAACAAGCAGCGTGTCATAGGCTACTGTTCAAAAGGATTTAGGACATACCAACTAAGAGCATCATCTCAAGTACCGTAGGCCTCATGTGGCTAAGGTGTGTGTGTGTGTGTGGTGGTGGTGGTGGTGGTGGTGGTGGGGGTGGGGGGGTATGGGTTTTAGTATGAGAGTTTTCCCACAGGTGTACACTTTATCAGAAGTTAGCCATGTTGTACTGTAGTTATAAAAGATAGACCTACATTAAATTTTTAATAATCTATAACTGTTTATTTAGACATATATGTGTTTGTGAGCCATGAAAACGCAGTGAAAGGGTTATAAGAAATGACTAATAAATGGCAGAGTGGTTCTCTGACTGGAAAAGGAGATGAAGTTACACACGAAAATGTAAACACAAGTTACAAATCAAGTGTTAAACACACACAAATCTAGACACACACGCACAGATCTTATGAAACTTTTTTCTCCCCATAGAAAACGTCGACAGGTGTTAAGCACTATCTCGTTTCCTCTGGTAATGCAGTCGTCCGTTATCAGGCGGCCGTGGCCCAGCGATGACAGCAGACAGGAGAGGCGGGAGTTCTGTGACCGTGTTTGTGTGTGAAAGCTAGCTTGTTTTACTGTTTTTTTCATCGCTGCTTCAACAAACACACGTGTTTCTGCTCTGTGGGAGAAAACCAGGATCACCTGGAAAAGTCAAACACATGCATGGAGAGAACAGGCCAACTCCACACAGAAAGGCAGCAGTAAGGACTCAAACCTGCGACTTTCTCCGAGGAAACTATTCCACCAGCTGCACCAACATGCACCTGAGTTGCAGAAACACCGGAGGATAACTCTAAGGAGCCGCAGGAATCATGTGAACCCACAACAGCTCTGTGTTCTCACCCTTACATCATCATTACGTCACAGGCTGAGCCACGCTAAACACAGACGGTGAGCCCATAATTAAACACCAACAGCTACGTTTGTCTGAACAGCAGCAGAGAGGACAGATAGAAAAAAAACACAGACGCAAATAAGCGGTTAATTTTCACTTTAAGTATTACACAACATCTATGTAGACAATAAGATTCAACATTGATGGGCTACAAATCCATTGTGTGGCATTCCAAGACCCCAAAATGTATTTAAGTCCGAGTTAGCTTCAAAATTTGGTGTGAGGTTACTTGTGTCACGAGAAAAATGTCAGCCATCTTTAACTAATTTTCTAAAACAGCCTCTCTGTCACATTATTTTAAAATTGTCAGTGGAATGAAGAAAAGAGCAGAGTCCCTCTGGCTTCAACGGATTTAAGTTTTTCACGACAAATCTTTTGTGATTTGGCAGGACGGCAATAAAACAGCAACTTTTTAGTCATTTTAGCACACATTGGTTTGGTTCTAAATAACCTAAACTGTTCAAATGTTACTCAGCTCGAACCTCTTTATCTATTAAACCAAACAGAAAAACTAAGTTCGCCCTTGCCGTAAAATTTAGATGAGAAACAATCAGCCAGGTGCTGCTGATCATACCTATGAAAGCTGGTGGTTGTGTTGGTCTGGAGCATACAGGTGTGTGTTAACACGAGGTGGAAAGACATCTGCAAGGAAATTTGAGGAGCAAGTGTTGCTGCCCTTCAGTTTTATGAGACTTTGGATAGATGGGACCAAAGTAGATATGTTTACCCATAATTCCTTTCATCAGAAACAGCGTGAGCCATGATGGGTGAGTCCATGAATGCTAGGGTGTTTCTCAATGTCAAGGCGCCTGGCCTCGCAAGGCGATGTCTTGCGAGGCCAGGCGTCTTGCTTACAAGGACACTGTCCTTCCTTGGTCAAAGAAAACGGTTTAATGGAACAGACTTGCATCACGTGACCACGGCTGTCATGGTCTGCGCCTTTCCCCATGTGTCTCCTGATGTTCTCCATCCCTCTCTAGATTCCCCTTTTGTGTCTCATAGCGCCCTCATGTGTCCTTTGTCTGCGTCTCATTTATGTGTCTTCTGTTTGTAGCCCTTCAGATCATCCCCAGCCCCTCCAGTTGTAGCTCCAGCCTCTTTGTCCCCAGCTCGGTGTGTGTGTGTCATTCCCCAGTGACAGTGTATGTGCGTGTGAGTGTATGTGTGTGTTAGTGTGCGTGTGTGCATGTCCTTTCCCCAGCTCAGTGTATGTGTGTGAGTGTAGGTGTGTGTTAGTGTGTGTGTGTGTGTGAGTCCTTCCCCCAGTCTTTAGATTTAGTTTTGTGTTTTATATAGTTTTAGGTTTATCTGCCCTCCACTGGTTCTCTTCCCCATTCAGATAATTGTTGTCACCTGCCTTCCCTCCAGCCTCACTCCACACACCTGCTTCCTGTTTCCCTAATTGCTCCTCCCAGTCTATATAAGCCCTGTCTTGTCTCTGTGTTGTGTCGGTCCATTGGTGTTGTTTGTCAGCGTTGTTTTTGGTGCTCTGTGTGAGCTTCCTGTCTCGTCCCCAGTTTGTGCTTCATGTGAGCTTTGTTCTCCTGTTTTTGGATTTTGGCTCCCTGCCTTTTGGATTTATTTTTGTTCATCCTACAATAAAAGGATTTTTACTTCATATCAACTCCTGCCTCGTGTCGTCTGGGTATCTGCATTTTGGGTCCTAACCATCCTCTCAACGTGACCGCGGATTCCACGGCGGTCAAGTAACGTCACGTGACACGGGAGATAACGTTATATTTTATACATATTAGTTTCAATATTAATATATAACGAGGCTTTTACTTTTTAAATTGTGTATATGTTTATTAAATTAGAAATATAAGTGAGTTACTACCCGCTAGCCACCGAAGCTGCAACTACTAAGCAACTAACCAACCATAGATAACTTCTTTGGATCTAAAAAAAACATTTGAAATTAGTTGACTTACTTTTAAACTTGAAAATTGCCCCCGAAGTAGCTGCTGGCTTCTGATCCACTGTCCTTTTGAAAATACTGTGGTGTATTGTGGGTAATTTTTGACCAAGGCTAGGCTAAAAGACACCTCCCGTGTATCCTCGCTCAGCTAGCTAAACGGCTAACAAACGGAGAACACACGCCTTGGTAGAACATGAACATTGGAACACATCTTGGTGGCTCCCGATGATGTATCTCCTAGGCAACTGGGGTGGGACCAAGACATCAAGGCGAGGTTCCTTGGCATTGAGAAACACCCCTAGTCTTCTGTGTGACTATGTGTGGCTTTTTCTGACCTGAGTCTATTTTCTGTTGGTGGCTAATGCAGGAAATAGGGCTAGAAGACTTGTTTCACATCCAGCCTGCACAAGAAACTTGAGTGACGATTAAATTTCAAAAACAAAAAGCAAAAACTGTTTCTCAGTGAACTTGGTCTTTTAGACCAATTATAACAGAAACAGCTGATACCGCCTGTCAATGCTGTGGCGAAGGGTTGATGGTTTGGGCCCACCGTAAAGTCCCCTGTAGATGTGAGTCCGTCTGTCTGACAGATGAATTTTTAACCATCAAGTCAAAGTCGGCTCTCTTAACCCTCCCACTGTCTTCATGGGTGACCTCGCCAGGAAAGTTGACCGTTGAGCAGGGTTGATGGTTTATCCTTTGAGGTCCACGTGGCAGAGGTGAGGTGGTGCTCACGTGGACAAACGCTTGCTCACCCCTCAATTTGTAGCACATGTGTGGAATACAGAGCAAGAGGTGATCGGCTGACCACAACGTAAGCAACTCTGACAGGTATGCTGGTGCTTCACCATGTAGTGCTTTTAAAAACAAAAGTTAGCAGCTTGAACTGTACACGGAATGTGGGGGAGCCAATGAAGGCGTGTTTGTTAGCCGTTTAGCTCGCTGAGCAAGGATACACGGGAGGTGTCTTGTAGCCTAGACTTGGTCAAAAATTACCCAGAATACACCGCGGTATTATCAAAAGGACGGTGGATCAGAAGCCGGCAGCTACTTCGGGGACAATTTCCAGTTTAAAAGGAAGTCTACTAATTTAAAAAGTTTTTTTTTAGATCCAAAGAAGTTATCTATGGTTGGTTAGTTGCTTAGTAGTTGCAGCTTCGGTGGCTAGTGGGTAGTAACTCACTTACATTTTTACTTTAATAAACATATCCACAATTTAAAAAGTAAAAGCCTCGTTATATATTTACATTGAAACTAATACGTATAAAATATAATGTTATCTACCATGTCACGTGACGTTACGTGACCGTGGCGGTCACTTGATGCAAGTTTGTTCCATTTAACTGTAAGACATTGCCTTTCGAGGCCAGGCGCCTTGACGAAACACTCTTAGACCTGCGCACGTGTATTTTACACCTGATTTTTATGCTTTTATGTTACAAAGCTGCCAATATTTTTCAACAACTGGGCTTCATTTAATTCATTTTCAACAACATTTCGATGGATAATTCCAGAGACTAATGGTAGAAACTACACATTGTTCCTCTAAAATGCATCATCATTAGTCTCCAGTGACGGGTTGAGACGGGCTCTAATATCCACCATCAACCCGACAGCCCGCTGGCTAAGTCTAGATCACTTTCAGGGTTTACTCGTGTCCTATAAGGTCCGATGTCCATTTTTAGATGATCAAAGTCAAATGTTGAAGACAGCGTAAGCAGCAAGATGAGTTACATTTGCATAACTACTAACGTCACAGAAAAATCCTGAGTGATTTCCAGGAGCAACGACGGTCCAAAGACAAACGCACCCTCTCTGTTTTTACGGGTACCTTCTTATCAAACTTTGTGGTTTCGACGAGGAGAAAAGTCTGATGGATCCACACGAGATGAAGCATCTTATTTACCGCAGACCGAAGCTGCATCAGCAAAAATCCACCATGAATGAATAAATATTGATAGGAAACAGTCATGGTAACAACAGTCGATAAATAATCCCATCAACCAATCTGAGGAGTGGTGGGTAAATTAAAATGATTCCTTTGGTGTGTAGAGGTGAGAGGATGATGTAGGAGATTAATTTAAGGACCGCAGCAGGAACGCTGGGATCTACGAGCAGAAAAAGGTCACGCCATCACCGGCTTGTCTTTGACTTAATCCAAGGGTACGTCATTTTCTTCTTTCACATCTCTTTACCTCTCCATGCTTCCAACAACCTTTAACTCCTGGATGCTTTAAATTCACTTTATGACTCTGTGTTACCTTGAAACGCTGAAAGTCAACCAGTCAACCGAGACGCTGGCCTAAAGGCTTAAATTACAACACAATACAACAGCTTTAATGCATTTCCTTTAGTTCTACATAAGATGAGTAAGACTGTGTGGATTTCCAAGACTCTCAGCCTTTAACATACTGTAATAAAAATGTCATTAGTGGGAATGTAATCCACCCTGAACCCCTTTAAAACAATCAATGAGACAAAGGAATGGAGAATGGACTGGTTCGTCTGTCACATGAATCGAAACTCAGATGTCACGTTTCTTGAGTGTTAACTGACGGCCTATTAAAGTCTTTTAAAAGAATATAAATTTTATATTAGATTCTTGTGTAGGGTTAACATATTTATTAAATTTTGGGTGCTTTTTAAGCTAAATATGCTACACTACATTTGACCAACAAGATGTGAATTTCTATATAAATATGGAAATCCAACCTGATTGGTCTTTGAATGTTTAACCAGAAAACATAACAGGAAGACATAAAGAGCAGAAAGTAAAAAAATAAATCATTACTGTTCAAAAGATTCCTGATCTGTGATTTTTTTAGTTTCTTATATCAGATTGATGTTGAAGAAAACAGGATTCATGGATGAACAACAATATTAATTAGATCAAATAATTCTGTATTTACAGCTTTGTTCATATTGCATTCACTCATCCTAACTCAAGATATTTGGATTTTCTTGCCTTTACTTACTGTCATAGCAAAATAAAAGCATTGTTTAAAATTTCCTGGAAATTGCATATTAGGCTTCTACCGTTCCCAGACAAACCTCACCTTTCCTCTCAGGCCAGGGAGTCACAGAGAGGTTGAGCAAGCTACACATCATAAAAAGCACCTGATTTCGCTCAAGACTGCAACTCTCTGTTTTACGTGCAGAAATCGTTCTGAGTTTCTGATTTGTGCCAAAACACTGAGTGCCTGGATGCATCCTGTGTAGGCACAGATGGGAGAGCTCAAAGCTGCTGCGACTGCTCCGTTAATGCGCTGCTTCCACTTCACACCAAGCCCACGGAGATGACGTGTCAGCGTGAGTGACAGAACAATCTGCTGTGCCTACAAAAGTGTTCAGCGCTGATGTGGAGTCTCCATTTCAACACGTGCAGAAAGATATATTATAAAAAACCAACATACAAGCCAAGAGACTCTGTCGCAGGTGCAGAAAGGAAACACAGGGACATGATGAGCTGAGATACAGAGACGACGGCAGCGGGAAATCTACAACGCTGGGAATGGGAATCTTCAGTAAGTTCTAGATAGTTCTCACTTTGCACCTCAAAGGATTCCTGGAGGAAAGTGGATTCATTAAAGGAGCAATATGTAAGTGAAATAATCGCATAACGGTCTAATGTCTGTCATGTTGGAAGGGAGGTTCCACTGAAACAGATTTCTTTCACAGCTGGCTGGGGGGTTGTCAATCTTTCTCCTTTCAAAAAAACAAAAGAAGGAAGTAGTTACTGTTTACGATCTGTAAACCCGTTAGATTGCCGAGTCTGTGCCGAGCGAACACTGCAGCGCCAGTGTTTGTGATTCGACACCAGCAGGCATGTTGTCCACGTTGCCCTCAGTGTTTCCCTACTGCCACACACCTGACTTAGATGAATGAGTGATTAACAGGTATCTGCAGCACTTGATGTACCCCTGTGGACCAGGGTTGGGAAACACTGCTTTAAAGAACCAAAGCCAGTAAACAGGAGCGACCCAGCAGTTATTTCGTGTACCTCTAAGAAGCCACGGCATCTTTTTGTTTTACTCTAATATCAGGTGAAGCAGGCTACAGGCTAACGTTGAGCTAACAATGCTAACAGCGAATAAAACGCAAACAGTTGACTTTAAAAATATCTCGAGCTACTGTTTCCATTGGCAACAACTGGATATTACAGTGAAGTGTGTGTGTGAATTGAATAATGAGTCAATTGTGACGTTTTCCATCCTTGAATGAGCCGTTCAGAACTATAACAACAAGCTAACAGCAAGGCGGCAAACAACCACACTTCCTCTAATGCCAGAGACATATTACCGTAATAAGTGTAGTAAGTGCAACCTACCGTAAAACACCTGGGAGTGTTAACACCTGATATAACAATGTTTTTATCTACTTATCAACTTACTGTGTATGACTCGTCTTTGTCTGTCATCCAGAACTTTCTGGTGCTGATCCGTAACTGGTAACAACCATGAAACCCACAGAATAACAGTGAGAGAGCCTTGGGGTTCCCCCGGAGGAGCTGGCTCAAGTGGCTGGGGAGAGGGAAGTCTGGGCCTCCCTGCTTAAGGTTGGTTTATGCTTGACGCGTCCGCGAGGTCCGCACGGCTCCACGCGGAAAAGTTGCGTCATTTTAACAACGACGCCCCTCCACTGCGCCTCCGCACGGCCCAGAATTTCCGCAACTCGCACCTCGGAAAATTTCTAACCACGCGGACGGACCGACGAGGAAAAACATGGCGGACCGGCAAGAACTAGTATGGCAGAGGTTCGTAAATACAGACATTTGTATGATTCAGCTCTCAGAGATCACCGTGATCAACATGTTGTTAATAATTCTTGGGGAGAAATAACTCGCACTGTCGGAAAAGACGAGAACGCTGTTGTAAACAGTAATTTCTACTTCTACTATGGTGTAGTGTTGGATGATTGCCGTAGAGCTCCATGCTGCCCCATTCAGTTTGGAAGAATATTGGCTCACCGCAGAGACGAGCCGCATGAACCATAAACACTGCTAGTTTTGAAGCGCGTTCCATCCGCGAGCCGCATGACTGCGCGGAAAGTGAATGCGTCAAGCATAAACCAAGCCTTAGGCTGCTGCCCCCGCGATCCGACTCGGCGTAAGCGGGTGAAAATGGATGGATGTTGAGTATTATGATAATTTTCCTGCCCTGCCTTTATAGTCAAAGTAATACCTAACTTCAGATTGGCTCTTCAGTCTACCTGAGATTCGAGCAGACCCGCCCCTGATGTAGAGGGGTGGAGCCTGGAAAGCGTAGATGACATCATTCTCAGCTATGCTCGTTACGTCGTCTTCATCAAAGAAGGAGCGCTGGAACCCTGTGGAGTAAACCTCTGTCAGGATCACCTGGAGATCAACAGACACACACAGATATCATCCAGTAAGCAGGGGCAACCTGTAACCATCGCCTTTAGATTAATCCTGCTCACCTGGTCTGGAGAAAGCTTCCCTTCGTCAGCCACTATCCTCCTCAGGAAGGCAATAGAACCAAAGAGCGGCACAGCCAGTCCGACTCGCAGATACCGCTGTCCTTTGGTGCTGAACACCAGAGTGACACACAACGGTCTGGCAAGGACAAAGACACACAGTCAGAAACAACATGGCTTCTTTTCGGATTCGTCTCTTAACCACTACTCTCCTCGTCTCCTCTAAAGCAAAAAAAAAAAAAAAAAGGGACATTAGAGGACATTCATGAATAAAACAAGACATTTTAGCACAAATAATACATTATTAGGACTTTGTTTTATGTGTGTGAAATAATAGACTCTCTGGTGCATTTTTAAAAATCAGCTCTGACCGCTGAAGGATGGCACGCTGAGGAGAAGCGAGAGCCGCAGCTGGTTTATGACAGTCTTTGATTCCAATTTATTATACTAGGGATGGACAATATATTGGCATCAATATCGGTATCGGAGGATGTTGGTCAGTTTTTAACATATGTGTATTGGTTCGATAAATAAAACCGGGCTGATATTAACAACCGATATTTTTCCATCTCGTCTCCATTTGTTTGCCTGTTTTTTTTTTGGGGGGGGGGGGGGGGGGGGTGTTTAGTCATGTGAACAGTGAATGACATCATCTCAGAACCGTAAGTGTGTGTGTTGTGTGTACATAAAAACGTAATTTCAGCTTTAATAATTTTCATACTATAAAAAAATCTGCTGATTTTAGAAGCATTGATGTCAGTATATCGGTATCGGTAACTATCGGTTATCGACCTTAACCAAGATCTTAATATCGGTATCGGCACAAAAATTTCATATCTGTGCATCACTACATTAAACATATAAAATGATTAAATATGATGTTTTAAATGCACATTAATTTAAATTTGAGCAGAAGATGATTGATTATTATCCTTCTCGAAATCAAAACCTGTGGAACAAAGTCACCATTTTCCAATAGTTTATTGGGGAGAAAAACATTTATTTGAGAAGTTTGCCCCTTTAACGTTTTAACTTGAGTAGACGTTCAACGGTTAAACTACTGTTGATGACAGTAGTTTAACCTCTGTCACAGTTCCTCGCGAACTAAAGCATGCGGTGGTGAGACCTCTGCTGGATCCAAAGATTCTCTCCAACTACAGGCCGATTTCAAATCTCCCCTTTCGTGCTAAGATAATGAAAACTGTAGTATAAAGTCAGCTGCCCTCTTTTCTAGCTGAGTATGATTTGCTTGAGCCCTTCCGGCCAGCTTTCAGAGCTGGCCACAGCACTGAAAGAACTTTGCTGAGAACCTTGAATGATGTATTTCTAGCTACTGATTCGGGTGATTCGATGGTGCTACTGCTTCTGGATCTGACGGCAGCTTTTGATACTGTTAAACATCAGATGTTATTGGGCCGACAGGAGAACTGAGTTGGGTCGGCATTATGCTGGATGAGATCATATCTCCCTTTTCTGTTACAATGGGTTCAGGGTCACTAAAGCCGGGCGTACACTGTGCGACTTTTTCACTCGCAGCGTTCAGCTTCAGCTCAAACTGTACGACTTCCTCGCAGAGCAGATCTCACGAGTCATGTGCTCACACTGTACGTCTGGTAGCAACACGTCGGCCCTAAAAATGTGCTAAAAATAGCAGTTTTTACTCAACACGTCAGACTTTTTTGTCTTGCCTGTTGTTCTTCGGGAGTGCTGCAGGAGGACACACAGGGATTTATGGGGGTTGGATGAGGAAAACGAAATAAAGAAAGTAAATCTGTGTTTTGTGATCAGTTTAATTTGACATGAACACGACAAACACGCTTTCTTGACAATCTTTGTGAGTAAAAAAACGTGTAGAAACAAAAACGAACAGCGTGTGTTATTAGGGAAATAGCGAGCGACCGGCCGGCGTTGATGCAGGATTGCGCGCGCATGCGCCGTGAGCGGTTCTGATACTTTTTGGATCGTAGCTGCTCGCAGCTGCTCGCAGCGCCGCTTCAACAGTGCGATACCCTCACGAGGGACGAGCGAAATATTAAACACACCAGAAGTCCCTGCGACCTCACGACTGCTGATCGGCGGCTGGTCACGTGGTGTTAATCGCCTCTCGTAACCCCCTGTACACTACACGACCGCTCGGCGCAAAACTCGCCCCGATGTCGTGGCTTCTCGCACGACTGGAAAATCGGCTCAAAAAAGTGAAAAAGTCGCACAGTGTACGCCCGGCTTAAGAGATGCTCCCCTTAATTGGGGCGTTCCTCAGGGTTCTATACTGGGTCCTTTGCTATTTTCTGTCTACCTTCTCCCGTTAGAAATGCTACTTCGTAGACATAATGTATGATTCCACTTCTATGCGGACGACTGTCAGATCTACTTTTCTTTTGCTCATGGACAGCCGGGTATGGTTCAGCAAATAGACTGTTTATGCGATGTACGCTCTTGGCGAACATCACATTTTTGGTGCTTTAATGACAATAAGACTGACGTTATCATGTTTAGTGAGAATGACCACCAACCGCATGATATTGACCTCTCGTCATAGGCTCCTTTTCAGAATCTAGTGGTCGCTGGTTGGGAGTGAGGCTTGACTCTTCATTAACACTTCATTGTCCTTTTTTTTGACGTCTTTAGTATGATCCGGCCAAGATTTGGACTCAGTCCCAGGAACTGCATTACTTGGTCCTCTTCCTCAGAGCTTCGCCATTGTTGGTGGCGTCACTTCCTTCTCTGTTTATCAGCGGGCAGCAGAGGATGATGTCACCCTTTCCTTGCCACGTTACACTCCCCTCGCCGATGACACAGTCCCACGCGTGATCAAATGTGTAGACTCTGTCGACTCTGTTCATGGTTGTGTGCCCACGTCTCCTTATTTCTATGGCTTCTTTGATCCATCTTTTGTATTTTTCTTGTTCAGTGTTTATGATCCTTGCTTTTTCCCAGTCCATTATATGATTTTCTCTTGTGCAGTGGTCTGTTACGGCTGGTTTATTTATAGTACTTTCTGCTTCTTATTTCGTGGCTCTTGTGTGTCTTTCTCACACTCTTTTCTACGCTCTACTGTTCGTGTGCTGATTTGGCGTCCGAGTTTGCATGGGATTTCGTATATGGCTACACACTTATGTCCTGCTGACATCTTGTCCTTTGGGAGTACTAGTATTTTTTAACTGTTATGTATGTTTTGTTGGTGTGTTTATGTTGTGTTTTTGTTTTACATTGCTGCCTGCTGATAAATGGAAAAGGAAGTGATGCCACGAACAGCGGCGAAGCTCTGAGGAGGACTATAGTGTAAGTCAAAATGTCACCATCAACAAGGTAAATCAATTCTTTTGCTGTGTTTAAAAAAAAAGAACCAAGTAATGCAGTTGGATGAAATACACAAAATAAATGTATTTAAATCTTATATTAACATCTAACAATACATAGTTCAGTTTAAAACCTAGATTTCCTTTCTTTGTTCAATTTTCAGGTTTTACAGCAAAAATAAAGAACTTTTAACACTTAAAGCTATTGCTTTCAAACTGGTTTCAGTGATTCTTGAGCCAGAAACTTGAGCAACTTTACAATGGCCAGCACTCTGTAACCATGTGCTGACCAGAAAGCAGTTTTATGTTCTGTGGGAGTCATGGCGGAGCCTGGAAGTAAAAGTAAGAGAGTAACGTCTTTGGAGATGAAGCAAAGAGCTGAAACCAGAGTGAACATCGGTGTGGCCTACACTAGTTTGAGGAAGTTAAAGGAGGCTACAAAATCAGGGACTGATGGTGACCTGGCCTTGTTGTTACTGGACTAATAATATTTTTTGTCCAGCAGAGTGGATCTTTTTACTTTGTGGTTTATTTTAGAATCAGTTGGCTCATGTTAGTGTTAGCTAGTTGTTAGCGCTAGCTACAGCCGGGTCACTACAGTTGTGATTCCACTTTGAACCAGTAGGCGGACTAGAGGGAAACTTATTTAGTGTTCAAAAGGTGAGTGTGGTTCTGGATTTTTTCTCTAACGATCCATTTGAGTTAGGTCTTGCTGACTGGGCCGCAACCTCTGCAAGTGGTATTAGCATCACTACCAGCTAGGCCTCCACTTCCACTAGCTGGACCTCTACCTCTGCTTTCGGGTTATTTACATCTACTAGCCGGGCAATCACCATTGCCAGCTGGGCCACAGCCTCTGTTGGCTGGGTCTTTACATTTTTTATTACTTCTGTTAATGAAATAACAAAAATGTTTAGTCCTTCTGAAATAGATTGTAAGTCCCCTGATTTTGGACAGCCAATTTTTAGTATAGATCAAATCACTGATCTGGAAGTGGCCAACATAATTCAATCAATGAAATGTTCCAAAGCCAAAGATGTATATGGTCTTGACACACACTTCCTGAAAATCCATAAAGACGCTCTGGTGTGCCCAATAACACACTTAATACATTTATCCATCAGAGTGGCAACAGTTCCATCAAGCTGGAAGGTGGCCAAAGTCTCACCAATTTTTAAATCAGGATCTTGCTATACAAATACAGGCTATTAGAGTATTTTTAAGTTACTTTACAATTTTTAAATTACACCCCCCCAGCTTGAAGCTTCCGTGTGTTATTCTGAAGCGGCCGTTCTCGCTGCTGGATGAACTTTCTCTTCCTCAGCTGTGCCACACACAGATCGGTAAAATGTGATGGGAGCGGTGAACGGTGACTACGGTATTTGGGAAGTACTTTGTGTACCTGCCAGTCTGTACAGAACTGTGATGGGATGAATTCAAGCTGCGTCACACCCTCTAACCGTTGGAACCGTGCGTTACGTCTCTTTTCACGTGAGCTGGTGATACTCGTGAAGTACACGAGTGGCAGTAATGACCACGCGTTTGTCCAGAGGGAATAACCTTAGGGCCAAATTTGGCCCAGGGACCAGCAGTTGACAATCACTAGCAGGAAAGACCCGAGGTGAGTCAACCCCCACGGTGACATTGTGGTTGATGTGTGTGTGTGTGTGTGTGTGTGTGTGTGTGTGTGTGTGTGTGTGTGTGTGTTCATTACAGCCTCTAACAGCTGTCTCAGCAGGAGCTCCTTCATGCCTCAGCCTGAAACACAAACAGCTCCGCTCTGCGGGACACGAGGAACATGAGGAGCGGCGAACTGCAGGGAAGCGTCACGTTTGGTTCCCACATTACCAGGATTACAGAGATCTCCCAAAACTGTATGTAGGTGAAATTCTGATTTGTGTGTGTGTGATTGGGACAGGGAACAAGCAGAGTCTCCCTGTTTGAAAATGTCAGGATTTCCTGGGCAGGCGGCCCCTCCTGCCCCCGACACAGATGGTAGGAGGGTGTAGCGTTGTAACCTTAAGTGAGACATTGTTCTTCAGCGGTTTCCACCAGCTTTTCCTTTCTGATACCAGCCTCCTCAGCTCCACAGAGCCCAGTGTTCCAGACACGGGAGTCGTTCAGCCTGTTTTCTAATTACATCTCTTTAGCTTCAATAAAAGAGCCGTCTAACACTCCGTAACACATCTGGGCCTTTAGATTAACTTTGAAACAGAAACCACTCCCTCCGTGATAAATGAGGAGGTTAGTTAACTTCTGATGACCTGAAAATCAAGTCAAAAGACACTCAACATTAAAGACATTCACAGATTTTAATACTCATTCACTTTGATTCTGATGCAGAAGTTGCAGGCGTCCATGTGGGTTCCAGGGTCGTCGTTTGAAGTGATCCCTTATGTAAGCTGGTACAACTGACCCAGACCATCACACTACCACCACTGTGTCTGACTGTTGCTATGGCGATGGTTTACTGCAATGCACTCCTTATAAGTAATTGTAAATGGGTCGAGCTCACCTGGTCTGCCGTAGAGGGATGGGTAGTGAGATGCAGAGGAAGGGATCGAAGGTGTTGCTCTGTTTGAGGCAGTGCGGACACGTCAGGGAGGACCTAAGGAAACAAAAGAAGGTGACTAGTTTAGTGAGATAAGTCGTGCTGCTCTGACACATAAATCTAAACGAGTCCTGAAACGTTCCAGCTGCGGTCGGGAGGAACGCCGAAGCCTAATGGCAGAGAACATGTCTTCTACCCAGGTGCCTTGATCTGATTGTGAGACAGGAGGGGATGAGTGATAGCCTGGCAAGCCAGACTAAATAAATGTATTATTCAGTCTGGCAACGCTCCACTGACGGATCTCGGTTGTGGGGCGGGCTCTACCGTTGTCTTTCAAATGATCTCCGCATGCTACTGGACAATGAATGTGACATACTCACCGCAACAGCCATCGGTAAATGAGGCGGCCCGCAGTTGAAGAAGGAGAAAACACATCATTTTTTCTAAAAAAAACAAGCTCTTAAATACATCTATCTGCTCCTGATTCTTATGAAGCCCAAGTTCTAATAGTCTAACATTGATGTAAAAGCTGTTTCAAACAAGCTGTCGCCATCTTGTTTCACTCTGTTGCATCATCCCACCCACCAGGCATATAGAGTGACCTGATTGGCCCACAAAGCGGATAAAGCTCTGATTTGTTCACTAAGCAGATAGAGCACTATGATTGGCCCACCATCATGGACCAATCACAGCTTTTTATGTGTTTGAAACCCCTCTAGAGAGCTGTGATTGGCTAGCCAGAATGCTTTTAGGGGCTGCAGAGGTTCCAGTGGAGCGTTGCTAGACCAAACTTTGCGAAGCAAGAATTTGGTCTAGTTCACTCGGCTAGATGAGTGATGCAACTGGTGAAAATGAGCGGGATGGAGGGCGGGGGCAGAATTAGTTCTCCAACCCTCCTGGGGGTGAATCGCGCCAATAAAGACTGAAGAGGTTTCCATCTTGCTGCGTCACTTTCAGCGCGAAAAGCAGAACTTCCTGCAGTCATCATCATTCTTCCTTTACATCTGAATGCAGAGAAACGAATGAAAGCAGCAGCAGCGTTGATTCTCTCCTCTCCATCAAACCCTGCCCACTCACACGGGTTAATTCTCCCAACGACGAGGTAAACCGATAGAAGCGCTCGTCCGGTGCTCCAACCTGATCTGGATGGTGTTCTACGAAATGAGCTCCTTTTTTAAAATGTCTTGTTTCTCTTGTTATTTGGTAAAAACAATCTCCAGCAACGCATAAACAGTACTTGTTTACAAGTACAGTGAGTTAATTTTCCTTGCAGATTTTTAAACTATAAATAAAATAAATGTCAAATGTTATTGAGGTGCCATGACACCACACTGCATCAGCATTCATAGGCTGACTTGTGGTTATGATCATTTGATTTGCCTTTTCTTTAGGAAACCGTCTTGGATAACTTTTTACATCTGAACGAGTTTAAGCTGGAGGCTCTTTTATTTGTTCCTCTCTCTCCCACTGCTGTTAGTCCTGTCCTGCCACCCCGTTTTCGTAGCAGTGAAGCCAACCATCACTAACCTGGGGGTGGGTTTGGACCCCGAGCTGCGGATGGACTCTCACATTAGCCAGGTGGTTAGATCCTGCTTTTTATATTTTCCCCAGCTATTAAAGATGAAGTCCATCCTGACTAGATGTGACCTGCACACAGTGATCCATGCATTTGTGATCTCTCGCTTGGATTATGCGAAGTCCCCTTTTTATGGATCCACATCTTCCTTGGTTGCGCGCCTACAGCTGGTGCAGAATGCGGCGGCCCGCCTTTTGACGCACACCGGACGGCGGGAGCGCATTACTCCTGTTCTGGACCAGCTGCACTGGCTCCCAGTGCACTACCTCATCCAGTTTAAAATTTTACTTCTTGTTTTTAAGTCGTCGTCGTCGTCTTCCTCCACTTATCCGAGTCCGGGTCGCGGGGGCAGCATCCCAACTAGGGAGCTCCAGACCGTCCTCTCCCCAGCCACCTCCACCAGCTCCTCCGGCAGGACCCCAAGCTGTTCCCGGACCAGATTGGAGATGTAACCTCTGCAACGTGTCCTGGGTTGACCCGGGGGCCTCCTGCCGGCAGGACATGCCTGAAACACCTTCCCAGGGAGGTGTCCAGGAGGCATCCTGACCAGATGCTCAAACCACCTCAACTGACTCCTTTCGATCCGGGGGAGCAGCGGTTCTACTCCGAGTCCCTCCCGAATGTCCGAGCTCCTCACCCTATCTTTAAGGCTGAGCCCGGCCACCCTACGGAGGAAACTCATTTCGGCCGCTTGTATCTGTAATCTCGTTCTTTCGGTCATTACCCAAAGCTCATGACCATAGGTGAGGATTGGGACGTAGATCGACCGGTAAATCGAGAGCCTGGCTTTCTGGCTCAGCTCCCTCTTCATCACGACAGATCGGCTCAGCGTCCGCATCACTGCAGACGCCGAACCAATCCACCTGTGGATCTCCCGATCCCTCCTACCCTCACTCGTGAACAAGACCCCGAGATACTTAAACTTCTCCACTTGAGGTAGGACCTCTCTCCCGACTCGGAGTTGGCGAGCCACTCTTTTCCGGTGGAGAACCATGGTCTCAGATTTGGAGGTGCTGATCCTCATGGCTTCCGGTGCACTACCTCACTACGTTGTTAGTAAGTCACTCTATCTTTATGCGCCTCTCTACTTGACTCAGCTGGTTCAGCCCTACGTACCTAGTCGAATTCTTCGGTCAGCAGACCACCGCCTGTTACAGGTCCCAAGTGTTCGGGTGAGGACGCGAGGAGAACAAGCGTTCTCAATCTGTGCGCCTCGTCTCTGGAACCAACTCCCTCTAGCAGTGAGAATGGCCCCCTCTCTCTGATTTTAAATCACTCCTGAAGGCTAATTTTTATTCCGTGCCTTTTACTTCAGCCTAGTTAGCATTTTACCATGTTTTTGTTTGATTTTTATTGTTTTTATAGTAGTTACTGGACTACTTTTATTACTTCATCCCGTGTGTTGATTTTTATGCTCTTTTACTGTGCAGCACTTTGGTTGACCTCGGCCGCGTAGAAATGTGCTTTATAAATAAAATAGAATGGAAATGCACATAAAACATATCACTGTGGGATTATTGTTAAATCTTGTAGTGTAGATATAATTTCAGGCCGCACAGTGGTGCAGCTAGGAGCGCCGTACGGTCGTAGGTTTAAACTCTGGCTGCAGCCTTTCAGCAGGGACGAAAAGGATTAATGGGCTTGACACACGAGGAGGCGACATTGCCTCTCCGTTCATTTTCAACAAGACGTGCGTGACAAAGACATAATCACGAGTCTCCCTCCTGCTAAGCAACACACGAAAAACGTGCACGTGAAATTTTACACTCCTGAGCATGTCGTGCACAGGCGAGCCTTCGAAGCAATCCCAGAAAGTAGAGAAAATTTCAACTTTTCGTCGCTGTCGCAAATCAGCGGCGGTTTCATTGACTGACCAATGAGCAGACAGGGTGATCTCCGGGCAAACATGAAGGAAAAGGAAATTACTTGTCGGATTTCCCAGAGCTTCACGACGTTTCTACAAAAGAAAACGAGGTCTTCACAAACTGGCAGCAGCATGGGAAACAGTTGGTGCCAGAATTATTACATCAGGTGAGTTACGTTTATCCAGTGCAATAGCCATCCTCAATGAAAAACAACGGAGGACTCGCTATTCGCCCTGGAACAGAGCACGTCGCACGTCGCTTCCCATGTGCCAGGTTATCAAAACGATATCGATGAGTTTCGCTGATCGGGGTCGTTTGTTGCCTCATGTGTGTCGAGCCCATTACACCAAACAGTTTTCAACGCTTTAAGGTATTCCTTCAAAAATGGGTTAAGGTGATTGTGTATATAAAGTTTATAGTCTTCACCCTGAACAGCGCTCTGCAGCCCTCTGCTGGCCATATACCACACTTAACAGGTTTATGGAGTGGGTAGGTGCTCTATAGGGAGTCCTTTACCTGCTTTATGGCTGTTAGCTGTTATGCTAGCAGTTAACTTTTTTAGTTCGCTGATCGATAATAAAAAGAAGAAGAAGAAGTTAGTTTTTTCTGTTGGCATCGTGGCAGAGCTTGGATGTAAAAGAAAGAGAGTAATGTCTTTGGAAGCGAAGCAGAGAGCTAAAACCAGAGTGAACATCAGTGCAGCCTAAGCTAGTCTAAGGGAGCTAATGGAGGCTACAAAATCATGGACTGATGGTGACCTGGCTTTGTTGCTACTGGACTAATAATAGTTTTTGTCCAACAGTGTGGATCGTTTTACTTTGTGGTTTGTTTTTGTATTAATTGGCTCATGATACCATTAGCTTGTTGCTAGCGCTAGCTACAGCAGGCTGCAGCAGGGTTGTTTCAACACATTCTCACTCCCTACGCATCAGAAACAAACGCTTGGTCAGCGACCCTACACGTCAGACCCCGACGTCGAAAGGGCCCTTTTTCGTCACAGCTGGACGTAAAGGGGATTTTCTGACTGCAAATCCAAATGCAGTGTAAAATAGACGCAATGGGATGTCCGCTGGCGCTGCAGCAAACCAGCACATTTTACCCCATCCGAACCTTAACCCTCCTGCTACTTCTAACGTTCCCGTCGCACCCCCTCCTAACGTTTCTTGCCTTGCTATTTGGAACCTCCCCCTCGCCTGGGCCCCAAGCCAACACATTCTCATCCCAAATGCATGGGACAGACTCATGGGACAGATGCGCTTGGTCACTGTGAGGGGAAGGTTTGTGGTTGCAAGAGGGTTAGAGTTCGGATGGGCTGAAATGTGCTGGTTGGGTGCAGCGCCATGTCATCTCGTCAATTTTACGTGGATTTGCTGTCGGAAAAACCCTTTTTCGGTTGTGATGATGAAGAGAGCTTTCGGCGTCGGGGTCTGACGTGGAGGGTCACTGACCAAGCGTTTGTTTCCGAGGCATTGGGAGTGAGAATGTGTTAGTTGTTTACGACAGTTGTAATTCCACTTTCAACCAGTAGGGCGAAGAAGCAGGAAACTGCTCACTGTTGCTCTAAAATGGCGTTTTCTCAACTTCTTGAGTTTGATACACCAAGTGGGTGTTTATTC